AATAAAATTTTTTTTAAAAATTTTTTTAAAAAAAAAAAAAAAAAAAAAAAAAAAAAAAAAGAGTGCTTCTGTGTGATTCTGGAAGCCATATGAGAAGGTTCTGGACTTGCAGCCAGGGTCTACATAAACGCATGGGTGCACCCATGGGTGTGGCCATGATCCCGACTGGCTACAGGGCTTGAGGGAGGATTGTGGCATGACAATCCTGTTGAGGATGTCTGCTGGCCTGCCTCTCACAGACTACATTTTTCTTCTTGCCATTACAGGAGAGACCGTTTCCCCTCTCCCTTTCCTTAGACCATTTCTGTTAAAAACAATGACAAAGTCCACACTACTGTATAAATCCTTCTTCTGTTCTTTTGTTATGTATGCTAATCTTTTAAAAAGCTAAGTAAGCTTCTTGTCAGCATTAAAAGTCAAGAATGTTTTTCTTATGAACCTCAGAACCATCTCTGAAATGTAAATGTCAAGGAAAATAGTGCCTCTTGCCTATCGCTTTGGGAATTTAGCATAGGTACACTATGCCAAGCTACAACCTCATGTGTTTGTCATAAAGACATAAGAAGTTTTATTTTTTCTTTGGATAAAGGCAATTAAATAACATAGATGGCCACCCCAATCAACAGCTGAATTCAGGATGAACTATGAAAGAATATATTGCAAATGGTACTGTCAAATCCTCTCATGAGAGCGAGTTATGAAAAAAAATGTACATAATGGATTATATATGCTTGGCTATTTAAAGGGTGAGATTTCTGTCTTTGTAACTTCATTTGTGGATTGCCTATGATGCGCATCACCATTTGTCTTAATACTTACTAAATAATAAAGTTGGTTTTTTTCTTTTCTACATTTGTGAAGAGAAATTTGGGGTTGGTAGGAGATTTAACGTTTAATATTTTCCAACACTTGCCATGATGTAGTTGTTAGTAAAAATCAAACTGTAAAACAAGATATATAATATGCATAATATGTAGCATATTATTTTTTATTTTATAAACTACAGATTGGTATGTTTGGAGGTACCTATAGCAAACTGTTCAAAGTTTTTACCTTTATGAAGAACTGAAGATAAGAGGAAGTCAGTTTTATTTTTTATACATCTGTAACATTTTTCATAAGGAACATTTTATTTTGCAATGAAAAACAAAATAACACACTTGAGGTTCTCAAGATTTTCATTACTTAACATTAAAAATATTTTTCACGTGAAACTATTTCTCTTAAAAAGATTTGTCATGTATTTTTCTAAAAACAAATCCATATATTGGGGCCAGCTTGTGGCATGGTGGTTAAGGAAGGGCCCACGTGGCCAACCACACACAGTTCAAGTCCTGGACCTTGTGGCTTGAAAATCATCCTGGTGCATGTGCAAGGATGCCTAAAAATCTGAGAGGAGAATGGACTGCAGCATGGCCGTCCACCCTGGGGAGTGAATTCTCTTTTTTTTCTTTCCCTCTCTCTGGCGAGTTCACTCGTCCTATGTGAAAACCAAAAAACAAACAAATGAAAAGGGACCAGCAGATGGTATGATGGTTATGTCGTTGGACTCCACAGAGTTGGACATGGTTCAAGTCCTGGACCTGGTGTCTTAAAATTGACACCCAGTATATATGCCCAAAGTCCTGAGAAGAGAATGGATTGCAGCATGGTTATTCACCCAGGGGGTGATTTCTCACTTTCTATCCCTGACTTTCTCTCTTTCTCTGGAGAGCACACACACCCTGTAGCAAAAATATCTTTAAAAAAAAGGGGGGGGATTGGCAGACGGTATAATAGTTATGTTGCTGGACTCCCATGTAATTGAGCATGGTTTGATTCCCAGACCCAGTGGCTTAAAACACCTACCAGGTGTATGTGCATGTGTGCCCAGAATCCCAAGAGGAGAATAGAGGAGAATGGAATGCAGCATGGTCATCCACCCTGGGGGGTGATTTCTTGTGTTCTCTCTGTCTTTCCAGCAAGTGCATATACCCTACAGTAAAAATCTCTCTCAAAAAAAATTCCATATAAACAATATAACTTTCAAGGTTTTATTTTCCATAAATAGATAGTGAAACCCTTGAATTTGAAAACACAGGCCTCTTACCTGGACATTGTATGAAAGACCAGTTGTATCTGCTGTCTTCTAGACACATACTGGAATTGAGAAGGGGCTGCGGATAGGAATTTCCTGTGGGGGGCTGTGAAGGCATCTTCACCGGTCCTTTATAGGAGCCTTCGATGCACTTCCCTTTGCCAGTATTGCTGGGATCAGTACACCAACCACAGCCTGGTTGCTCTAAGCAGTGACTACAGGTACAGCAGCCTGAACAATTTTCAGCTACCAAAAAAAAAAAAAAACAAAAAACAAATTGCAATTCATTATCACAAGTAGACTTGAATTCACTGTATTTAGATTAGCTTTTCTTTAACAGACTACTGAATTTCTCTGAGTCAAAATTAGTATTCTATCGTGATCATTCAAGTGAGATAATGAAAAGAACCCAATTATTTTGTCCAACACAGAGTAGAGACCTTTCACTTCTTCTCTCAACCTCAGGGTTTTGGAAGCGACCTTAGAGGTCATATAGAAAGCACTTAACTTTATGAATTAGAAGATTAAGATGTGGAAATATTACATGGATTGAATAATATAACACTGATCTTGGCAACATTTTTCTCCATTCTGTGATCTATCCTATATATATCTACTTTTACATTTTTATTCTATATGAAGGTTCTCATTATGCAAGACTGCTTTAATGGCAGCCTTTGGTCAGGCTGGGGCAGAAGGACAAAGCTGTCTCATCCCTAATATGTTCAAAGGCCAAGAGCACTTCCCTATGGCAAGCCACTTGCAAGTCTCGAGCTCATCTTCTCACTTACGGGGGCAGCTGCTCATTGTATACCACTCCATACATTGTCCAAAAGGGAAGGAGGCCACGTAGGCATTGGAGTCCACACACTGCTTCATATTGCTGCACCACATGCACTCGGAGCTGCCACTTGTGCACTCCCCACACGCTGTCCTCAAGGCACATGGCATCCGGCATTGCTTGGCGCTGTGGTTTGCTGAGGATCAAATTCAAGAAAGATATTTAGCATTCCTATATTGTCAGCTAAGATCAAAGGCTTTTTGAACCAAGTGGTAGTGCAAGAGTAATGCAACTGGACCCACAAGGAAAAGTCCTGAGTTCACATCCTGGGACCTTCCTGAGCACACAGGGGCATGATCCAGGCTGGCTAAGATTGGGGGAGGATTGTAGCGTAAAGGCACTGTTGGAGTGCCTGTCTCTCTGTTTCGGTCTTTCTCATGGAAGAAATAAATAAATAAACTTAAACAAAAAATGACTTTTCAGAGATGAGTCGTGATCCATTAGTATGTTATAAAATCAATTCAGGGGCTATAATAAATAAAGGAAAAAAGAGGAAACATTAGAGTCATCATGTACTTTTGGTCATGTGTATTTATATAGTTAAGGGGAAAAATTGATTTTCTTTTCAAATATTAAAAATAAGGATGAGGAAACAGGTGAGTCATTCCACAAAAGTAGGGTTCTAACTCCTTTATATGATAAAGGACCCAGGATAAACTTCGGAGGTTTTACAATTCACCTGAATATCTGAAATCTTATGTTTATCATTTTGAGGGGACAAAGGACCACTGTGTTCATTAAATTCACCAAAGCATTCAGGTTTCAAAATGGCTGACAAGCCTTCCTACTAAAGTTCAGAAACCATGTTTTAAAGTGACTTCTGCGATGTTATGAATTATCTTTTATATCTCTGTATTCCTCAGACAAATTATAGTAGCTTAGTAAAAATGAACACGATGGACATGGAGTCCAGATGCCCAAAACAATCCACAATTTCACCTACTGCTTCTAAGTCCCTCTCAAGAGCAGGAGGCTTGTCCTGGACTTGTCTGGGTGCTGAAGAGGCTGCCCCTGGGCCTGCCACTACACAGCATTTGTTTGTTCAGCTGTCTCCCAAGCAGCTCTGGTGAGCTTCTGTCAAAGAGCTGTTCTCCTAATTTTTCTCCTTTCTTTCTTTCTGAATACTGTTCCCGTGTTGCCTTGCTTATTTTTCTAATCTTTTCTTTGTTTTTATTTTTTTTGTGTGTTCCTTCTCTGCCAACACCAAGTAATTTCTCCTTTAGAGTGATTCTCAACACTTTCTGTGGCCAATAAAACAATCAATCTCATTGTTAATTAGAATATTGGGTTCTTCCAACAGTGTTATTTTCGGTTTTGCTATGGCTGGAACTATTTAGAAAAATACATTCTTTCCTTTTGCTTTTAAAATTCTGGGCTATACACTGCTTTGTATGCTTGAAATCAGTACCCCACCTGTTTTCATGAATATTTCATGTGTCTCAATGCTTAACCTCACTTCCCACAGCTTCTCTCTTGATTACCTTCCAAGAGTATCTAATTCACTCATGTACTCACCAGGCCTTTCACAGACGCTACCATTGAGTGGGTTGATGCAGGTTGCAGCCTTCAGTCCCCGAATACTGGGTTCTGACAAGATTCCACAGAATCCAGCATCACTGGGCTCCGAGGGCATCCACTGTAGTAAACTATTTGTAAACGGGGACATATCTTCCCAGCACCAGTAGGATACATTGATCTTCCGAAGGCCAACCCATGGGGTTAAGGTGAGCTTGGGCTATGGGGAAAACAGATACAACTATAAATACAACCCATGTCTTGACAAAAACAGGTTTCTAAATTTAAAAACCTACTAAATTAGTATTTATTCCATAGATACAGGAAAATCTCCCTATCCCCTGACTCAGGCATGGCAGGTGAAGATAGATCATCACTATTACAAAATATGGCCCTTTTACAAAGGATGAAAATACAGTTCAAAGAAGATAATACATCAACATTTTTTACAGATTAACAACCAAACAATAACCAAGTTCTGACATTTCTATGACCTACAATAAACACTATGAAGAGAGGGCCACTCCAAACGTGGTTTAAATGCCCATTCATGGGACCAGCAGTTAGTGTAATGGCTATGTCACTGGACTCCCATGTAGTTGACCGCGGTTTGTGTCCCGGACACAGTGGCTTAAAACTCACACTGGGCGCGTGTGCATGCGTGCCCAAGATCCCAAGAGGAGAACAGAGGAGAAGGGGTTGCAGCATGGCCATCCTCCCTGGGGGGGTCATTTCTCGCTTTCTGTCTCTCTGTCTCTCTCTGTCTGTCTGGCGAGCACACACACCCTATAGCAAAAACCTCTCTCTCAAAACAAAACAAAACAAAACAAAAAGCCCATTCATACATGAAATCATCTAATACTTATGCAATATTGGTTATATGCCTATCCTCAGATTATTGACTAAGTATGTGTTGGGGCCCTGACGAGTTGAAGATTCCTACCATTAGCTATGGGGTACTGCTTGGTACTAAAATTCCTGTCTTACTGATAAATATTTAACAAGAACTGTATTATTTAAGGTGTACAACATGCTGTTTCGATATATGTACACAATGTGCAATGATTATCACAGTGAAGCTCATTAGCATATCTATCACTTACCTACCACACATACATACATACTATTGTATGTAACATTTAAAATCTATCCTCTTAGCACATTTCAAGTATAGAGTACAGTAGTATTGGTTATAATCACTAAGCTATACATTACAGCCTCAGAACTTATTAATCCTTCATAAATATGGTGACAACATCTCCACTTTCCCCACCTCACTCATTTTGTGTGTATATGTGTTTAACCCAGAAACAAAAGATATTCCTAATTTTGGCAGTTATAAAACAACATGTATGATATACTTCCATTTTGGAGAAGAAAAAAATGCATGCCTATTAAGAGATTTAAAAGAAATATCACTTCATTAAAAATTAGTTATTTTTAATTATAATAATAAATGATATTTATTATATTTTCTTAGCTGTCAGTGTTTTCTTAATTTATTTTCAAATACATATTTATCACTATGGAAAGAAAGATAATTAAAGTGAATACTCTTTAAAAGTCCTGCAATAATTTCTTTGCCTTCATGATAAAATTCAAAGCCATTAGCATTACAGATAAGGCCTCTCAGAATTTAGCCATGGTCCCTTCTCCAGGCCTAGCTATAGCAATTCAATTCCATCCAGGATGTAGCCAGCCAAATCAACAGGAGCCTCTGTACCTTGTAATTCACTCCTCCTCACCTGTTACCTCTTCCCAGCACTTGGGCAGCCAACCTCTGCCCTAATGGCTAGGTTGGGTTCCCTTTCCTGTTTTTCCATATAAGACTAGGCTACATCTAGACTCGTGGCTGTTACAGTTCCCAAAGCACTTTATAGTTTAGTTTGTCTCTCCTCTGTCAGCTTATCACAAGACTGTGAATTTCTCTTTTACAAAGGTAGCCACTGCAGATCAGACTGGCCAGAACATTTTGGAGTCAGAAAATGTGAGGAAGAGAGAAAAGGGCACAGAGGTCTATCTGTGGCCAGTTGGGATGGTTGAACCCTCCTAACCAGGTAGTCTTCCAAAGATGTGGACTTGAGAATCACTAGCAGAGCCCCCCGGTAACAGACAAAGCTGTGAGCTATCCATTTTCTGAGAGTCAATACAGATAAGCTCAGTTGACAGCCAAAGACAAAATGTTGGGAGAGCCAGGCCCACAGCTGGGAGTGAGGAGAAAAGGAACAAACAATATGAGCAGTCTCTGGTGGATATGAAATCTGAAGAAACTATCAAAATAGTGAACTCTAGGGACCAGCAGGTGGCATGGTGGTTGAGGTGCTGGACACTCCCATATGGCTGACCACAGTTCAAATCCCAGACCTGGCGGCTTGCTTTCTCACTTTCCTCTCTCTCCATGTGTCTCTCTCTCTCTAGTTCTCTAGTCGAATTAAAATAAATGAATGAATAAATAAAATTAAATTTAAAAAATAATTCTTAAAAAAAAAAATAGCGAACTCTAAATACGGCCACAGTCTCCCCCGAGGTAAACACACTAAGAATGTATTGACAATGTGTGAGCATCAATGCCACACAAAGTTGTACTGGAAAAAAGGATTAAGCGGAGAAAAGTAAAAAACAGGGTACTTCCTCCTGTTCTCAGAATGGCTCTTTAGGTGGGGACCAGGCCACATGTGGCCAGAAACCAGAGCACACTTCCCAAAGCTTCAATGAAGACAGCTACACCCAAGGAAGTGCTAGTCTCCCTTCCTCACTGCTTAAAGAAAACTTTTCCACCAAATTTCTCTTTTCACAGCCAATACTGCTAATAATGCTTTGTTATAGGAGATTCTATTTAATTGAGGGTAGGATCACGGTTCTAGGACTTTGACTTAACAAAATGTAACTGTGGAATATCAACTACAAGACACCTCAGAGCACTGGATGGATAGGAAGAGAAAGCTGTGCCTTTCTCAGCTCAGAAACTTGACAGAAAGGTGTTCTCTTCTTCTGGGCTACTCTAAGAGACTCAAAACAGATGTACTTATCATGGTAGTGACCACATTATGCACTTAATAATACCTTAAATATAAGGGACTCAGGGACCAGCAATTAGTGTAATGGCTATGTTGCTGGACTCCCATGTAGTCGACCACGGTTCAAGTCCCAGACCCGGTGGCTTAAACTCATGCTGGGTGCACGTGCATGTGTGCCCAAGATCCTGAGAGGAGAATGGAGGAGAAGGGATTGCAGCATGGCCATCCCCCCAGGGGGTAATTTCTCACTTTCTGTCTCTCTGTCTCTCTCTGTCTTTCCAGCGAGCGCACGTGCCGTATAGCAAAAAAAAAAAAAATATATATATATATATATAGGACTTAGGTGGTTTAATCCAACTTGGCTAACCACCAATGACCTTTCTCTTCCCCTATCCAGGTACACAGGTATAAAATCATCTGTTGACGTTACCAGAGCATGTGCACATATATCATATTGCTATTCATCCCATATGTAATTACTCATAAGTCTTATTTATTCAATAGATATGGCTAACAAGAATATACAAAGCATCAAGAATTTTAAGAAAAGAAAAAAAGGCATGCAAGGACAAGATTCCGTCACATAATGCCACACTCTGCCAGGTCACGAGTACTAGCATTCTTCCTCTTGCCAAGTACCTCACACACCTCTGCAGCCTTCCATCCCAACCGCAGTCAGAAAGATGGATACTAGAAACTATGTTCTGAGGATCTTAACTCACCATGCTCTGTGATGACTGCATTATTCGCAGTTGCTTAAGGACAAATTCTACCTTTTTTTGCGTTGTAAGAGAAGCCAAAAAGGCATTGTGGTTCCTACAGGATAATTTAGCATTGTCATAATTCTCCTTGGCAGTAGTAATTTTCAAACATGAGTTTCCAACCAAATGCCAGCCAGTGCCACAGATATTTTCTATTATAAAGGGAAGAGAGGAAAAAAAACAATTTTAGAATCACACAGAACTACCTAATTACTAGTTCAAATTACTGAACACTTAAGCTCTGTGATTTGAATTCCAGGTACTTCATTAGGATGTGGTGAGGGGTCACGCATATTACTAAGGAACAAATATCGAATACAAGAATTGAAAAATGCTTGTTGTTCATATTTCCTAGACCTCACGAAACATATTCTGAGGTCACCTCACTTATGTGTAAGAGAAATCACTCTTTGGTGCCAACGGTAGACTGAAGAACACTTAGACTAAAATCCTGAGTGAAGAGCAGACAAATGAATATACACATTGGATGGGGGGGGGGTAGAAAGCTGCAAGAATAAAAATAAGTCAGAGAATGAAAATATCTATAGTCTCCAAAAGCCACACTGTATTCATATCATCAGGTAAAGGTATAATTAAGTGCATAAAAGCATCCCATAAATGAAATGGGAGAATCCTTTGTGGGAAAAACCAAAGTGATAAAGCTGTGGACCAGAAGGTAAACTCGTAATCTGCTGCTTGTGATCACCTGAACCCACAGATAACTTCACCACAACAGAAGTGCCCTGGAAACACCATCACCAGTGTACACTCACAGTAACAGTCACTTTGACACGTGAAAGGTGCCATGAGAAAGATTTCTTTAAAGAGTCGACAAAGACCAGCTCCTCCAAGTGTGGCACTGGTGACTACGTCAAGTGCAGACCCTAGGGACCCACTCTAGACCTGAACGAGAATATGCTTGTTAGCAGATCCCCAGGTGTTCTGTTGTGCATGAAAGTCCGAGACACACGGAGATTAAAGCACAGGAAGCCTATTCTGCAAATGGAATCAAGTATGTCCAGAGGCCGCTCTAAAGAGGCCAGGTCCAGCCCAGCTGCCCTGCTCATGCGTCAGATGTTGTACAGAGCCAGGGAAGTCCCTCCACTTGGACATTCTTATTAAGCAAGTGTATCACAGGGGGTCAGTCACGCCTGGTTGGCCTCAGGCCCCAAACAACCTTCCCAACCTTCAGAAGTACCATAAAATGAGGTCTTTGGGGCTGGAGATCACTCCAGGAGGTATCTCTCCTCTCCTCCTCAGAGGTGCTGACAACCCAGTCCCAGAGGTCAATAAGTACTCTTAATAAGAGCCCAGCAGACTGGCTGCTGAGATGGCTGTACTCCAGTCCCAGGTTATCACAGCAGGGTGGGGAGGGGACAGTGGAGCAGGCTTCACGATACTGAGCAGAGCTGTAGTTGGATTCTCCAGAGCAGCTGACGATACTTCACTTTATTACAAAGGCAGTAGGAACAGATACTGTATTGTATACACCACACACACACACACACACACACACACACACACACACGATATAATGGTATGGGGTATGAAGGACAGAATTAGCTTCTCCCCTCTGCTGGTTCAACCTGCACTACACACTGCTAGGGCAGGAGGATTAAGTTCTGGACCCCCCCCCACACACACACACACACACACACCACGCTGGCCCCAAAGGCCTACCAGGCAGAGCAATGCACTCCTGATTCCGTGGCTCCCACTGGCAGTTCTGGTCCAGGGCACAGCTCCTGCAGCTGGTCTTCTTGTTACAATAGTACATGGGGTTATCTTTGGGGCAATTCTCATACCTGGAAATGGAGATCTAGAACAGAGTGGACAAAAACATTCACAGAGAGAATTCAAAGTAAAAACCAATAGGATATGAAAAACAAAATCTCACTGAGAGAGCAAACTGCAAATAGATAAACAAGATGCAGATGGAGGGAATGTTCTGTAATGTAAAATGTTCTGCTCAAGAACATGTCTTCCTCCTTTTTCACTTGCAGAGGTTACCGTGATTAGTTCTTTCTATATTTTTTTAGAGGTGCACTTGTCTTAGGGTACCTGCGCTCGCCAGAGACAGAAGGACAGAGAGAGTTGAGAGGGAAAGTGAAAAATTCCTCCCGGGAGGGGATGGCAACATTGCAATCCCTTCTCCTTCATACTCCTTTTGGGATCTTGGGCACACACACACACACACACACGTGCCTAGCGTGATTTTCAAGCCAAGAGGTCTGGGACTTAAACCACGGTTAGCCATGTGGGAGTCTAGTGACGTAAGCACTATGCCTTCTGCTAGTCCCAAAAACATGTCTCTACTTGGCAAGGAAGCAGTCCACTCTTAAACACTGAACCAACCTCTGCACTTATAAAATGGAAATGTTGAATGTGCTGCTTTTCAAATGTTCCATGAACAAGTTTTTACACACACACACACACACACACAGATACACACACACACACACACACACACAATTTTAAGGTTTTTGCCAGAGTGGATGCACTTGCTGGAGAGAAACAGAGAGAGAAAGAGAGAAATCACCTCCCCTGGGGGTAGGGTTGGGGTGGGGAAGATGATCAGGCTGTAATCCCTTCTCCTCCATTGTCCTCTCGGGATTTTGGGCATGCACGCACACGCGCCCAGTGTGATTTTCAAATTACCAGGTCTGGGACTTGTACTACAGTTGGCGATGTGAGAGTCCAACACCTTAACTACCATGCCACCTGCTGGTCCCAGCAAGTTTTATATTTTATGAACTGCATTAGACTGTCAAAAATGTCTTTTAAACTGTCAAAACCCACAAAGGCTGTGTTATCTTACTTGTCTTTTATTATAACCTAAATTAGGAAAAATACCATATATGGTGAGTGCTACAGTTACGCTAAGTCAAGAATAACATAAGGGGGCTGGCAGGTGGTGTGGCGGTTAAGGTGCTGGATTCTCACATGGCAAACCACAGTTCAAGTCTTGGATCTGGTGGCTTGCTTTCTCACTTTTCCTCTCTGTCTCTCTCTGGCCAAATTAAATAGTAATAATAATAATAATAAATTAAAATAATTCTTAAAAAAAAAAAGAAAAAGAACAACATAAGATGAAGAGACTTTGCAATCTCTGATTTCCACACTTTGCTATGTGTCACTACACAACCTGACTCGCTCAGTCTCAATCCCTAACTTGCTCCTCAAACCTTGCACAGGCAGAGAGAGCTCATCATTACAAATCTCAAACCAAGTACTTAGCCACAGCCATGCCCAGGGACAACAGTCCTCAGATAAGAGCCCTACCTTCTTCTAAATTACCAAACATGAGTCCCTGTGGCTAGTGGGACCGCAGAATAAGGATATAGAGAGCATCCCATCCTAAGAGAAAATGTGAACAATGAAAAAATCCAAATCTACCTTCTGTTATTTTTTAAATTTATATCGTATACATTATAACCTACAGTTAAGCCCACTTAGAATTTTTCCATCCTCTCAAATCCTTGAGAAACAGCCCCTGACCTGGCCCTCCGTGCAGCTGTGGTTCATAGGAACACAATGGTCATTGCACCAGTGGCAGTCATTGGTGTTGGCTGTGCAGCTGTAACAATCCGTGTGCTGGTCACATCTGTCATGGTCAAGGGCTATGAAGAGAAGAAAAACTTATCAATTGTGACAATCTCAATTTAGCACCATCTGAGATTGAAGTAAAAAGGAAAAAAAAAACATGTTAACAATGGGAAGCAAAATGAAGAGTGAAATTGGCAAGAAAATATATTGGAATGTTCAGGTTAAAAATAGGATTTAGAAACAGACAATCTGAAGGAACACTGTTTTAAGAAAAAAAAGTACAAAGAAAGTGAAAAACAAAGATAGATTCACTTAACCACAATTATAAAATATAATGAAAATAAAATCTGGTTCCTTGAATACTTTTCTTCTGAAGGTGGGGGAAAAAACCCACCAGCAATAGAACGAACACTAGAAGTTGCTCAGGAACCAAACAAAGTAAAGGAGACCAAGCTGTTCTAGTTATAAACACAACCTAGTCTGGGCAAAGGAAATAGGCAGCACCATAGAATTCCACAGACAGCACTAAACTGAACTGCATTTTGCACACATATATAAGTAATTTAAGAGTGGAGTGCCAGGGGCCAGTAGATGGCATAGTAGTTATGTCACTGGACTCCCATATGACCAACCGCAGTTCAAGTCCTGGACCCAGTGGCTTGAAAATCAAGCTGGGCATGTGTATGTGTGTGCTCAAGATCCTGGGAGGAGAATGAAGAAGGGACTGCAGAACAGCCATCGCCCTCGGGGGTGATTTCTCACTTTCCCTCTCACTGTCTCTGGTTTTCTCTCCAGCGAGTACACACACCCTAAGGCAAAAACCTCTTAAAAAAAAAAAAAAAGAGTGCAGGGCCAGTGGCACAGTGGTTAAGACAGCTGGATCCCACATGGCTAATTGTGTGGTTCGAGTACCAGACTCGGTGGCTTGAAAAGTACATTGGGGTAGGACCAGCAGGTAGCAGGGTGACTGAGGTGCTGGATTACCACATGGCTAACTGCGGTTCGAGTCCTGGACTTGGAGGTTTGCTTCATATCTCTCTCTCTCTCAGATGAGTGCATGTGTTCTGTAGCATATTTTAAAAATAACAATAATGATAAATAAAATGAATAATTCTTTAAAAAAAGAAAGAAAGGGACCAGCAGTTAGCGTAATGGCTATGTTGCTGGACTCCCATGTAGCCGACCGTGGTTCGCATCCCGGACCCAGTGGCTTAAACTCACACCGGGCGCGTGTGCGTGCGTGCCCAAGATCCCAAGAGGAGAATGGAGGAGAAGGGATTACAGCGTGGCCATCCCCCCTGGGGGGTGATTTCTTACTTTCTGTCTCTGTCTCTCTCTTTCTGGTGAGCACACGCGCCCTATAGCAAAATCCTCTCAAAAAAAAAAAACAAACAAAGAAAAAAAGAAAGAAAAATATTTTGGGCATATGTGTGTGAGTGCCCCAAATCCCAAGAGAAGAATGGAGGAGAAGGGATTACAGCGTGGCCATCCCCCCTGGGGGGGGATTTCTTACTTTCTGTCTCTGTCTCTCTCTTTCTGGTGAGCACACGCGCCCTATAGCAAAATCCTCTCAAAAAAAAAAAACAAACAAAGAAAAAAAGAAAGAAAAATATTTTGGGCATATGTGTGTGAATGCCCCAAATCCCAAGAGAAGAATGGAGGAGAAGGGATTACAGCGTGGCCATCCCCCCTGGGGGGGGATTTCTTACTTTCTGTCTCTGTCTCTCTCTTTCTGGTGAGCACACGCGCCCTATAGCAAAATCCTCTCAAAAAAAAAAAACAAACAAAGAAAAAAAGAAAGAAAAATATTTTGGGCATATGTGTGTGAATGCCCCAAATCCCAAGAGAAGAATGGAGGAGAAGGGATTACAGCGTGGCCATCCCCCCTGGGGGGGGATTTCTTACTTTCTGTCTCTGTCTCTCTCTTTCTGGTGAGCACACGCGCCCTATAGCAAAATCCTCTCAAAAAAAAAAAACAAACAAAGAAAAAAAGAAAGAAAAATATTTTGGGCATATGTGTGTGAATGCCCCAAATCCCAAGAGAAGAATGGAGGAGAAGGGATTACAGCGTGGCCATCCCCCCTGGGGGGGGATTTCTTACTTTCTGTCTCTGTCTCTCTCTTTCTGGTGAGCACACGCGCCCTATAGCAAAATCCTCTCAAAAAAAAAAAACAAACAAAGAAAAAAAGAAAGAAAAATATTTTGGGCATATGTGTGTGAATGCCCCAAATCCCAAGAGAAGAATGGAGGAGAAGGGATTACAGCGTGGCCATCCCCCCTGGGGGGGGATTTCTTACTTTCTGTCTCTGTCTCTCTCTTTCTGGTGAGCACACGCGCCCTATAGCAAAATCCTCTCAAAAAAAAAAAACAAACAAAGAAAAAAAGAAAGAAAAATATTTTGGGCATATGTGTGTGAATGCCCCAAATCCCAAGAGAAGAATGAAGAAGGGACTGTGGTATGGCCAGGCCCTGGGATGTATTTTCTCACTGCCCCTTCATCCTCATCTCTCTCTGGGGAGTGCAAACACCCTACAGCAAAAATTTTAAAAAGAAGAAGAGTACAAGTTTGAGAACTTCTGGGTGACTACAGACCTGATATATCTCCTACTGACCCTAGAAATGAGAAGATACACAAGCATGTTGCCTCATCTGTTGAACCATCTCATGGACATAGCACACGGGGGACTTCACAAACAGCAAAAAGCAGGGCCCGCACTCACAAAGACCCCAGTAGTCTGCTCTTTCAGTTGCTCTGCCTCCCAAGGACTGGGCCCACACAGAAAGTAGAATGAAACAGGGAGCTGACATCTAAGATGAGATGACAACAAATGGGTTCACACTGAAGGACTTAAGGCAATTCAGTATTATTTCTATAAACTTACACATTCAATTTTAACTTTTTAAATGTAAATAAAAATAACTATGTTGCTGATTTTGTCCTTCTTAAGAGGACTAATTTTACCATGTTCTTGGTCATCTCGGTTTTCCAGTACCCTTATCAGTCCACAAATGACCCTGGAGGTTACCTACAGGCTTTACTGGGGATGTCTGTTCCTGAATGGCTTAATTTAGAGCATCCCAGAAAGTGAAAGCTGCTGCTATCCACCATGACTCTCATGGTAACTACAACATAGACTCTACTAGTTAAGAAATTCAGTAGACATATTTGAAATTAACTGATACAAATAAGTATCAATTAAGTGATTGTTTTGCAAAGATATCCTTCTTATTCTTAAAGGATGTTTTTCTTACATTATTTTATCATAGTATACTGTGCTCTCTGTCAGAGTAAAAGTCAAAAAGCTAAATAAAAAAGTGGAAAAAAAAGCCCAGCTTGGATATCATGAGGGACGGTTTCAAGAAGCAGGGATCACTGTTCATCCTCAGCAACTATCTGTCTTAGCAAGACACTGCTGTCTCGAGCTAAAGGAGCTGACAAAGGATACTTCACATGAAGTGCAGTGACTCTACCACCATTCACCCTAACAGTTCACTCCAACATGGCTTCCCAGGGTTGATCCTCTCATCCTCACTGTTAGACTTGTGTAATCCAATATAGTGAACACTAGCCACATGTGGTTTTTAATTCAAATGAAACAAAATAAACATTTCAGTTCCTCAGTCACACTTAGCACATTCCAAGTGTTTGATAGTCCCACTGGCTAGCAGCTACCTATTTTGAGACAGTGAAGATCTAGAACATTTCCACTACAAAGTAAAGGTTTAATGGATTGCACTGCTTCAGACCAACAGTAGCCAGGCTCTAGGGCCGGTATGCAAAGCCCGTGTAATGCCAAGAAGGTTTCGTTATCAGCAGACAGCTTTGAGGAGCCATGTGGCACGTTCTCATTCATGTTTACATCAACCCTCGAACGTCCCAAAATGGCTTTGCACTAGTTATTACTTCTGGAAAATAAGACGAACATATGCTTTTGGAAAGTAAGATGAACATAAAAACTGAACATATGCCAAATTCCCTCACAAAGCAAATAAAACGAGACCTCTAATTAAATTCTAAGTAGAGAAAAAACATACTTCTTTTGGAGAAACATTCTGATTTTAACTTTTCTTCTTGCTCGTCAGTTGCTGACTCCCAGGGGATGCACTGAGACAATCCCGTGTCCCACACACACCGGACACCAGGTCCCGCTGCTGAACAAGCAGCTTCGCTCCGGTGCGCTTCGCACTGCTCTGAGGTGAATACGAGGACATCACTGAGGAGGAGACTGTTGAAACCACCAAATACATACATGGTGCTAAGAGAAAAACAGGGGAGAGAGGACTTTACTAAGCATTTAGGTAATAAACATGTGCCATACTTTTTACAGGTGATGGTCAGACAAATCTTACATATTAAAAGTCCTCTAAGAAATTATTTCTCAAGATCTCAAAAGCATTCTTATTCCCTTCTCTCTCAAATTCCACCCTTTCTTTCCAGCCTCTGACCATTTGGAAGAGTTCTGATAAGACACCTATACTTCACAGCTACTAAATTAAAAAGTTCTCTGGATAGCTTAGTGATTTTTAATCATGAGTCCCTGGAATATTTGAGGTCAGGTTACCTTTTAAATTTTAAGTTATTCTGGATCGCTATGTTTTTGTTTGTTTGTTTGTTTGTTTTTAGAGAGGTTTTTGCATAGGGCACATGTACGTGCCAGAAAGACAGAGATAGAGAGACAGAAAGTGAGATGTCACCCCCTCCCGGGGGTGGGGGTGGGGGAATGGCCATGCTGCAATCCCTTCTCCTTTCTCCTCTTGGGATCTTGAGCAGGCACGCACACGTGCCCGGTGTGAGTTTAAGCCACCGGGTCCAGGACTCAAACCACAGTCGACTACATGGGAGTCCAGCAACGTAGCTATTATGCCATCTGCTGGTCCCTCTGGATCTCTATGTTTTAAATATTAAAAACTAAAATGTACAAACTTAGGGCTAGCCCCATAGCATAGTGGTTAAGCACTGTGCAGAGAACAAGATCCCACGTGGACCACCACAATAAATCCTGCCCTGGTGGCTTAAAAAACACACTAGGCATGCCCAGGATTCTCAGAGAATGGAGAAATGGAGAAAAAAGGATTGCAGTGTGACCAAGCCCCACTGACGACAGGAGAGAGGTGATGTTTTTTCTCTTGTTTCCTCTTTTGTATGCATGTGTGCTCTAGCAAAAGACATACACATACACACAATTTTTAAAGTACAGCTAAAGCCTCTGTACTCAAAGATGTACCATGAGTACATGAGTACAAAGATAAATCAGAAATAGATAAAATGTGCTTCTGGAAATTTGACACAGTTAAATTAATGGGAAAAAGATGAGCTTTTCAGTAAATGGCATCAAGACAACTAAACATATGGAAAGAAAACTGAGTCCATTTATCACTCTATATACCAGGATAATTTTTTTTTTAAAAAATGAGAGAACCACCTGCAAAACAAACAAACAAACAAAAAAAAACAAAAAACAAAAACAAACAAACAAAAAATGACAAAAGTACTAGAAGAAAAAGATGGGTAAACATCTGTCACCTGAGAATACAAAAAAAAATTCCTATGACTTAAACATTAAAAGATAGAAAACAAACAGAAAAATTTAATCATATAAATTAAAAAGACTTTTGCTTAGTAAATACTACTGTAGGAAAATACTTCTTGAGGTTGTATGTTATATAAGCTTTGTTCAGAGATGAGTTCAAGTACTACTAAGGGGAAGCTCAATATTAAGGAATCAACAATGTTTGAGGTGTCTTTAAATAGAAACAAAGTTTAAATAAAAACACCTGAAACAAGGTTACTACTGACTGGTTGATAAAAATGTTATGATGAGAGACTTACAGAAACAGTAACCCTGTATTTCCCTTAGGAGTAGTGATTCAATATTTGCTACTTCAGTGTTTGCAATGACTTTTCAGAACATAATTACTGTGAATAATAAAAATTAACTGCACAGTAAGTAGTCTCTTATATATGGTTTTGCTTTCTGTAGTTTCAGTTACCTATGGGCAACAAGAGCCAGAAAATGTCAAATGAAAAATTCCAGAAATAAACAGTAAGTTTTAAAATTATATGCCATTGTGAAATCTCGAGCAGTCCCATTTCATCCTGCCCAAAACATGTATCAGTTAGCGTAATGGCTATGTCGCTGGACTCCCACGTAGTCGACCATGGTTCACGTCCCGGACCCAGTGGCTTAAAATTCATGCCGGGTGCGTGTACGTGCGTGCGTGCCCAAGATCCCGAGAGGAGAATGGAGGAGAAGGGATTGCAGCGTGGCCATCCCCCCTGGGGGGTGATTTCTCGCTTTCTGTCTCTGTCTCTCTCTGTCTGTCTGGTGAGCGCATGCGCCCACTGGGAGTCCTCCGTGAAAAAGGGAAGACTACTGCAAACTGATGTACTCACTGATAAAATTCCATTCTGCTGGAGAGTTGCTTCCAAGTAATCTGGAATGGTCTAGGGTAGCCATTAGTTGACAGTTAACTCAAGCTGAGCAATGGGTACATGGGGTTTCATTGTGCTACTACCTCTACTTCTGGACATGTTTCAAATTTCAATAAAAGCTTTAACTCTTGGGGGTGGGGAAAGTGTAGTACATGACTTGTCTGTATTTTACTTAAATTCTTCTATTTTAAGGATTACGTTAAATTCTAGTACTAATAATACAAATGGGTCTATTATCTCTTATACGTTAACTCCTCAGTTTAATTTTGTTTTAGTCTGGGAGAATGAGAATCTTTATATGACCATCTATATTATCTGTCTCAAAGAAAAAGAAAAGGAAAGAAAAAATCCCAATCAGTGACTCATCCACTCAGAAAGGCTGGTCCTTCAGCCTGGAGAATCTGCCAGAAGCTTAGTTCCACCTCTCAGCTGCTTCAGTCAGATGAGCAAACTCTCAGGATGAAGTAACTCAGTCTACCTCTTCGGACTTCATCTCTTAGTATCTTGCTAGGTCCTTGTTATGTATCTTTTTGTTGGCTGGTCAGGGAAGTGAGAGTACTCCTACGGCCTAGGGTCAAGGTTTTTTTAAATTTTTTTTTTATGAGAGATTTTTGCAATAAGGAGTGCATGCTCACTGGAGAGACAAAGACAGAAATCAAGAAATCATGCCCCTGTGGGAATGGCCACACCATCATCCCTTCTTGTCCATCTCCTCTTGGGATTTGGGGCACATATGGACACATGCTCAGTGTAAGTTACAAGCCACCAGGTCTGGGACTCAAACAGCGATCAACCACATGGGAGTCCAGCGCCTTTACCATTATACCACCTACTGACCCCTCACGGTCAAAGCTGTTTTTTTTTTTTTTGAAGAGGTTTTTGCTATAGGGAGCATGCACTGGCTAGAAAGAGAGAGATAGAAAGTGAGAAATCATCCCCCAGGGGGGATGGCCACGCCACAATCCCTTCTCCTCCACTCTCCTCCAGGGATCTTGAGCACGCAGACACACGCGCACAGGGTGAGTTTAAGTCACCGGGTCTGGGACTCGAACCGCGGTCAACTACATGGGAGGTGAGTGACATAACCATTATGCTAACTGCTGGTCCAATGGCCAAAGTTTTAGGGTATTTAAATTGAGCCAGATTCTCCTTCAGAAATATGATGACCATAGTGTGCCTAAACAAGATTTCACATCTCTGTTGGTCTGGAAAGCTGTGTGTTCACTCACAAAGGCTTTCAGAGTGTTCACAAGATAATGGAAAGGGCCCTGGGACCAGCAGTTAGTGTAATGGCTATGTCGCTGGACTCCCATGTAGTCGACTGCGGTTCACCTTCCAGACCCAATGGCTTAAAACTCATGCCAGGTGCGTGTGCGTGCGAGCCCAAGATCCCGAGAGGAGAATGGAGGAGAAGGGATTGCGGCGTGGTCATCCCCCCGGGGGGGTGATTTCTCGCTTTCTATCTCTATGTCTCTCTCTGTCTGTCTGGTGAGCGCACACACCCTATATAGCAAAAACCTCCCCCCCCCAAAGAAAAGTAAAGACCCTAGCTATCTACTTATAACTGGCTGAATGTGAGGCCTTAAAGTCACAGAAAATAAAGGCAAGAGCAAACCTGTGAACATTCTATTTGAATACATTCCCCACATGTAGATCAATCAGCAAAGAGTAGAATCTTCAGGGTTAAGTGTTCAAGCAACGCCACTAATTACTAAGTGAATGCTAAGCTACACTGACCTAGGGACCCTCCACAGGAAGTCAGGTTTAGAACTAAAAACAAGAAAAAACTGGCACAGCCTGGTGGCACAGTTCATAACAACCTGAAGTACAACGCTGGAAGCCACATGGCTGACTGTGGGTTCAGATCCCAGAGTGGCTTGAAAACATGCCTGCATGGTCTCCTGATGAGTTAAAGGGCCAGGAAAGAGAACTGCAGTACTGCAAGACCCTGTTGACGGTACTGCTCTTTCTCTTTTTTTCTCATGTATATACATTCACTATAATAAATTAAAAGAAGCCCTAACAGAAAAATCATCAGTGGCATATTTCAAGGGAGAAAGATCTACCACAGAATTACAGCAGGCAAGGCACTAAACAAACAACAATCAAAGCCCCCTGTGGTGATGATGGGGGAATCAGAATCTAAATTTATTAAAACATATTATTTAAAATGTTTAGTTTTCAGGTCAGTAAGTGGCAAGGTGGTTAAGATACTAGATCCCACATGGGTGATGCCACAGTTCAAGTCCCGGACCTGACTGCTTGAAAACCATGTCAGCATGTGTGTGTCCATGCCCAAATGCCTGAGAGGAGAATAGAGGAAAAGGGAATGAGGTGTGACCATCCCCCTGGGTGGTGATTTCTCACTTTCCTTTTCTTTGTCTCTCTGTTTCTCTCTGGAGAGTGCACATGCTGTTTCCTCCTGGAAAGGTCCAATGGCCTAAAAAAAAAAAAAAAAAAAAAAAAAAAAGTTTAGTTTACAACAAAGTATTACAAGATATGCAAAGAAGCAAAAAAATGTGTGACTTATATAGAGGAAACCAAAGTTAATAAAAATTATCTCTGAGTTAGTGTGGTGACATGGGCATGACATAATGCTCCGTGAGAGTAAACCCACATGGACAGGTTCCAGGTTCATGTCAGGTCAGAGTACAGAGACTGTATATGCCAGGTGCACACATGTGTGACCATTATCCTGCCTGGTTCAGGCTGGGGGCAGAACTGCAATGTGAAGACCCTGGTGGGGAGTGCCTCTGTCTATCTCGCTCAGTCCCTATCTCTCTCAGTCTCTTTATGAAAGAAATAAATAAAATAAACTTAAAAAATAAAAAAAACTATCTCTGGGAGGCCAAATGTTAGACTCAGGACAAAAGGACTTCAAGGTCTCTTTCTCTTTATGAAAGAAATAAATAAAATAAACTTAAAAAATAAAAAAGCTATCTCTGGGAGGCCAAATGTTAGACTCAGGACAAAAGTCCTTCAAGGTCTCAGTCTCTTTATGAAAGAAATAAATAAAATAAACTTAAAAAATAAAAAAGCTATCTCTGGGAGGCCAAATGTTAGACTCAGGATAAAAGGACTTCAAGGCAGCTATTATAAATATATTCAAAGTGGGACTAGTAGCTGGCATAATGGCTATGGCAATGGACTCCCATGTAGTTGACCACAGTTCAAATCCTGGACCCAGTGCCTTAAATCACACCGGGCACGTGTGTATGCGTGCACGCCCAAGATCCCAAGAGGAGAAGGGACTGAGGCAGGGCCATCCCTCCTAGGGGGTGATTTCTCGCTTTCTGTCTCTCTGTCTTTCTGGCAAGTGCATATGCCCTATAGTAAAAACGTCTCCAAATAAATAAATAAATTCAAAGAACTATAGGAAACAATGATGAAAGAACTAAATGAGAGCATGACATCAATAACCAACAGAGAATAGCAACAAAGAGGCATAAACTATAAAAAAATAACTAAGTAGAAATAAAGAGACAAGAATTACAAAAAAATTAGTTGGAAATAAAATAAGTGAAGTGAAAAGCACACTAGAAGGACTCGACAGCAGATTTGAGCTGATGGGAAAAATAAATAGCAAACTTAAATATACATCAACAGCAATTCAAAAGGCAGAAACAACCCAAGTGTCAGTCAATGGATATGCGGTCAAACAAAATGTGAGAATGTGCGTATGTACGCAACACACACACAGGAATATTATTCAGCCCTAAAAAGGAAGGAAATTCTGATATATCCACACTGTGGATGAATCTTGGTGACGTTACGCTAAGTGAGAGCAGCCAGTTATAATAGGGCAAATGCTGTACGATGTCACTCCTATGAGGCACCTACGGTAGTCAACTCCATGACGCAAAAAGCAGAATGGTCATTGTCAAGGGCAAGCAAAAGGGGAATGGGAAGTTAGTGTTCAATGGGCATAGAGTTTCCATTTTGGAAGATGAGAAAAGTACTGGAGATGAATAGTGGTGATGGGTGAACAACAATGCTATGGAATTACCACCACTGAACTATACACTTAAACGTGGTTAAAATAGCAAATTTTGTGTGACATTTTACCTCAATTTTAAAAATATCTCAAAGGGCCAGCAGATGGAGTAGTGGTTATGTTGCTGGACTCCCACATGGCTTACTACGGTTTGGGTCCCGGACCCAGTGGCTTGAAAATCACGCCTGGTGTGTGTGCATACATGCTGGAGATTCCAGGAGGAAAATGGAGAAGGGACTGTGGCATGGCCCACAAATATATATATATAAACTTATATATAAACATATATATACTTATATATAAACATATATGTGTATGTGTGTGTTCGTGTGTGTGTGTGTGTGTGTGTGTGTATAGCAAAAATACCTAAATTAGAAAAAAATTAAATTAGGACAGATCTATTATTAGAGACTGAATCAGCTATTCAAAATCTTCCCACAAAGAAGATTAGATGAATTCTATCAAACACTGAAAGAAGTAGTAATACTAATCCTTCACAAACTCTTCGGAAAAAGAGGAATAGCTCTCAACTCATTCATGAGTCCACTATTAGCCAAAGACATCACACAAAAAGAAAACTATAGACAAATATCCTTCAAGAATATAGATGATACATTTTTTAACAAAGACACTAGGAAATTTTTGTGAGTAATGGATCTGTTGTCTTGACTGTGGTGATGATTTCCCAAGTGTATACAAACTGTATCACCATTTATCAAATTACATACCATAAAACTGCATGGCTTACTGTGTACAGCATATTGATTTTACCTCAATAAAGCTGCTATGGGGCCATATATACAGAACCACACATATTCAAAACAAAAGCAATAGTAACAGTTCAAGAAAAATATCCTTTAAATGCTATTGTGGAGGCCAAGGCTAGCCAACAATGATCCAGTGTCCCACAGAGCACACAGGACCATGTCCACCGCAATCATGAAATCTCTGTGCCTCATTCACTGGGACATCCTCAACCCTACCACCCCTGTGCCAGCCCAGAATCTGAAGCATGAAGCTGGGGCTATGTAAACAGGTGCCAGACATTGCTCTGAAATATCTGCAGGAACCTCATGTGACAGAAGATCTTTGCTTCTTTTACAAAGATTTAAGACTAGAAATGAGACTGATAGGCCTAAGATAGAGAAATGGACTCTTCTCTAAGGAGAACTTGCTAGCAAGGTGTCTTCAGAAAAGAAAGGAACTTCCTTCGTGAGTTTTCCATTCTTGGACATGTAGAAAGTGTTATCTTCCTTGTTCAAACCCCAAATAAATTTAAAGAGGATGCCTACACTGAGTGGGAATTTGGAGCAATAGTTTCAAGGTTCTCTTTCAACTTCAAGATCCCATGATCTGCCAGGAGATTCAATACTAATCCACATATCAAATAATTCATTCTTGCTTTGCCTCCATATTCTTCAAATTAATAGAGGACTAACTAAAGCATAAAGATTTTTTAATGACTCTAAGGAGTCATTACTATATCTGAAAAATGCACGTTTCAATAGCCAAAAAGCAAAAACCAGGTTTCATTTTTAACTTTGCTTTGGCTGTCTCAGTATCATAGTAAGCAGGTTAGAGTCAGTGGGGTGTTGCTACAGTTGGTGTCCTTGGCAATCCTGGACCACATACTGGACCACAGAGCTGCACCTCCTGAATTTACAGTGCCTCATGGTCCCCTCCTCTCCTCCTTCATGCTTCCCTCAAAACCATGACAACAACTAAGTAATGCACAGCTGATCGAATGCTGTGGATTGAATCAAAACTCAAAGAAATGATGTGAATCCAAGTTCCTCTCTCAGCAAATCATTTCGTAAAGTTAAACCAAAACCACCACCTCCCTTTTCATTCTCTGCCCTTTCCAACCCTGCCCCATCCACATAAATTGGTGTCAGGACTTGAACATAGCACTGGAATTACTAAAGAATAATATTAATAGGCTCTGCTGCAGTGGCACAGGTGGTAGGGCACAGCGGCACAATGCTGGAGCCATATGGGGATCCCAGATTGATCTGAGCACATAGGGTGTGCCCGTGGACATGGCAATGACCCTGGCTGGCTGGAAGGGTGGCAGGGGGAGGATGTGGCATGATCCTCTACACACGCACGCACAATATACTTAAAAAAAAAAAAAAAAAAGAATAGGGTTAGCCCATGGCTTGGTGGTTAAGTGAGCTAAATCTCACGCGGCTGACTATGTGGCTCGAGTCCTAGATCCTGTGGCTTGATAAACACACTGGGACATGTGCACCTAAAATCTTGAAAGAAGGGAGAAGTGGAAAAGAAACTCTGTCATAACCATTTCCCATGGCGGACGCTTTCTCACCCCCTACCCCCAGTTCTGTCTGTCTCTCTGGCAGCACACATGCACTCTGGCGAAATTAAAAAAAGAAGGAGAAGAAGGAAAAAAACATTATAATTCAGCCAAGCCATTCCCAAGTTTGATTCATGGGTAAGCTACGTTTTATGTAAACTGCCCACTTCTCTGAATACGGCTAAACTCTAACAATGTTTTAACGGAAAATTCATTACTTTGTTAATATCAACATATTATTAATATTGTAATAGCTTCCACTCAGCTTTAGGGATTATATGGCTTAGAACTGTACAAGGGGAAGAAGAAAACAGGAATAATAGCAGAAACAAAATGAGAAAAATTGAAACTGTGATTAGTCTGATTAATTGCTTACAGATCTTTGAACATACTATAGGGAACAGGTAGAAAGAATGGCCACTCTGAATCTTCCTTATTTGACGGAGACTTCTCCATGGCAGATCTGTAAAGTGTTCTGGGAGTTTGGGCTGGGCACTTTTGAGCAATGGAATGGAATGCAGTACAAACTTTAGATCCAATTTACACTAAGTTTCTTAATCTCCTGACTTCTGTGTCCATTCCCTGTTCCCTATGCAAAATGTCCTCTTTCCTTTTTTTCAAACCTCTCCTTGCCACTCTGGTACAACTGCTAGAAACTCAACAACCTAAGTACCACAAACAAGCAGGCGGTGTCAGACAGTAACATGCACATAACTTTGGTTGTCCCATGCACTCAACACCAAACACTCCATTTCCATTTTAAACACAACAGAAAAGGAGCCAGCACGTCTCTAGTTACCTGTTGTATAAAACTGCTGAATGGCCAAATCTGTTGACGTCATGGTGGAGATCAGGTCTGGGAAGCACCGACCAGCGGTCACAAGCTAGGAACAAGACAAACACATTTCAGAAGGGACTGCCATGCATATCAACAGGAAGTGACATTTTTTCAGAGGACTGTAACTAACTCAACCTCATAAACATTCCCCTCATGTCTCTCAGTCACATCGTGATATCTAGGGTAAAGCAGCGGCTACAGCAGAGAAGAAAAGCAGGACCAGCTGGGCCACCTCGCAGTTGTAACAAGCAAATGCCCATGCCATCCGCCACTCTCCCTACTGCCTAGTAATGTCACCTGCAAAATATTTTTTAATGTAAATCAATGTACATACTGTAAGCTTATGGAATAAAAAACATGCAGGTGCCATAATTATTTTCTACTCTTCTCTACACTAATCTGCCCAAATTTAGTAACTAAAAAGTAGGTGGATAATTAAAATTTATAAAAATTGGGGCCAGCAGTAATGTGGTGGTTGAGGTGCTAGATTCCCATATGGCTGATCGCATCTGAGTCCTGGATTTGGCGCTCTGCTTTCTCACTTTCCCTCTGTCGCTCTCTGCTGAGGGCACGTGACCTGTAGCAAATTAAAAAATAATAATAATAATAAATAAATAATTCTTTTAAAAATTATAAAAATCAAAACTTTATCTAATTCTTTAGCAGTCCATTCTGGGGCCAGAGATGAGATAGCGGTTACGTTGTTGGACTCCCACATGGTCCACTGTGGTTCAAGTCCCAGACCTGCTGGCTTATACTGGATACGTGTGCGTGCATGCTCAAGATCCTGGGAGGAGAATGGAGGAGAAGGGATTGTGGCATGGCCATCACCACTGGGGGGTGATTTCTCACTTTCCCTCCGACTGTCTCTGTCTCTCTCCCCAGCAAGTGCATCCACCCTAGGGCAAAAACCTCTATAAAAAGATAAAAATAGGGACCACCAGATGTCATATGGTTACATTACTGGACTACCATGTAGTCGACTGTGGTTCGAGTCCCGGACCCAGCAGCTTTAAACTCACACTGGGTGTAGGTACATGTGTACCTAAAATCCCGAGAGGAGAATGGAAGACAAGGGATTGCAGCGTGGCCATCTCCCCTGGGGGATGATTTCTCACTTTCTGTCTCTCCGACGAGCACACATGTTCTATAGCAAAAATCTCTCTCTCTCTCTCTGGAAAAACAAACAAACAAAACAAAACAAAACAAAAACCACGAAGAAGAAAAAAGAAGTCCATTCCTAGATCTCTTGGATCTGCTAATTTCCCTTTACCCAGGTAAAATGGACCTATACTAGTAACTGCTCTTCTGGGCCAAATACCAGCTGGTGTTACTGAACTGCACCTCACCATCTTACTCTGTGACACTCACTTAAAAGTTCTTCCACTTGATCCAGACCTTTCTTCAACCTTGGCAACAAGAGCTTTCTCTTTCTTTTCCTACCTAGCCTTGACCACAGTCTCCCTCACATGCAAAACTCCCCTGGCTTCCTGCCTCCCCAACCTTGCTTCCTTCCCAAAAGCCACACTGCGTGACAGAGAACCTTTCTCTTCTTATCCCAGCCCTCAAATCGTCACTGTAGTGCATACACCTCACCTTACCTTATTTCTCAGCCTCCTGTGATACAAACCCTCTTTGACTAGAGGATAATAAACGATTTCTTCATTGCTAAATCTCAAGGTCCCGCCAGTTCTTATTTAACTTACTATGCTGGCCTCGATTTCCACCTGCTTCTCTGATATGCTTTCATGGGCTCCATTCTTTTTCCTATTTCTCTCTCCACCCAGACTTAGGCTTGTTGCTTACCCTTTACGACGTGTGCCCTGCATTACACCCCTCTGAGGACTTCCTGCTGGCTTTCTGCATTACTCTGTACCACAGACATCTACCCCCAACCTTACTTCACCCTCTTCCTCTCAGATGCTGTTCCTCTAGTTCTACTCCCAACTGTAGCCAAAGGTACCAACTGCCATGGCCTACATCACATACTCGGGAGTAAAGACACTACCTCTCTCAAAACCTCAAAACACTAACTGGGCAGGGCTGGCCTCACAGCTTAGCAGTTCAGGATCAGCAGTTTGAATCTTGGCCCCAGAGGCTTGAGAAACAGGACAGGTACATGTGCACACGTGTGCAAAATCCCAAAGGGAAAGATGAATGAAGGAAAAAGGATTGCAGCATGGCCACATCCCACTGGAGGGTGCTTTCTCTCTCGCTCTGGCAATTACATGTACCTTCTAGAAAACAAGAATCACTGCCTGAACAATTCTCAAGTTCCTGGTAGTTAACAAATCCTTCTCTTTATTCTCACTGCTCCCACAACCTTGGCTTAAATCCTCATCTGGACTTCAGCAATAGTATCCTAGTACTGTATTGCCCCCCCTCAACCTCTCACCACACCACCACTAATGAAATCTTCCTAACACACAAAGATGACATCCCTCCTCTTGAAGACTCTTCAAAAAGCCTAAACTCCCGAGCAAGACACGCCAGGCTTCTCAAGACCTAAACAGTGTGAGGGCTGCCTTAGCACCCTAGCTTCACTTGCAGTCCTTCCTGCCTACCCTGCTGTTGGTGGTGCCAAAATAAACATGTGCCATGCTCTCTTTCTGCCTCTCTGTCTCTGCACATGGGGGTCCTCTGCCTGGGAGATCCTGCCTCACATCACCAAGCTGACTGCCAGCATTCCCTGGACCCAGCTGGGGTGACCCTCCTCAAGGAGGTTTACCCTTGCCCTCCACCCCACCCCCGACTTAAGAAGCTCTCAGAAGTGTTCTAATATATTCCTTTCAGCAACAATCAGCCCAAATTGCAACTATGTCATCTACTCATTTCTCTGCCTCCTCCACTTTCAAGTTAAGGGCTAAACTATCGCTTATCTATCTTACCATCCCCAGTGTACAAGCTCAGTGGGTGGCACATAAATGTCTGTTAAAAATGAACATTTGGGGACCAGCAGTTGGCTTAATGGCTATGTCACTGAACTCCCATGTAGTCGACCATGGTGCAAGTCCCAGACCCAGTGGCTTAAACTCACATCAGGTGTGTGTGCATTCGTGCCCAAGATCCCGAGAGGACAATGGCGGAGAAGGGATTATGGTATGGCCATCTATCTCCCCTGGGGTGTGATTTCTCACTTTCTGTCTCTCTGTCTCTCTCTGGCTTTCTGGCAAGTGCATGCACCCTATAGCAAAAACCTCTCTGAAAAAGAACATTTGACTTAAGTCAAAATCATGGAGACAGACAGCAGAATGGTGGTTTTCGGGGGTTGGGGAGAAGAGGACATGACACGACAAGTTACTGTTTAATTAAGAGCTTCAGAGCTTCAGTTAGTTTTACAGGATAAAGAGAGTTACGAAGATGGATGGTAACAGATGCATAACATTACAAATATATATGTTTGTGTGTGTGTACACACACACATATTTCCACTATGATACTTAAAGAAGCTAAGGTAAAGTAAAAAAAAAAAATTATTTAAAAAAAAAAGGAGATAGTGATAGTGTTATGTGTATTTTGCCACAATAAAAAAATAAGAATTTTTTTTTCAAATAAACATCTGACAGTTATACAAGTTAACATCTGATATTTGTTTTGTATGAACAAACACTGCCCTCTCCTGGCCAAGTATATTACCACACAATACATGTGTAAAACCAGTTTTCTAAGAAATGAAATAAAGATAATACCTTAATCATGTTAACATAATGCTTGATGGTTAAAACTACATAACAAATGTAAGGCATCTGTAACAAAGAAGAAGCCAGGTACCTCAACTCAGACTCAGAAATTAACATTCAAGCAATTAACAGGAGTGGATTCAAAAAGAATTTAATGTACAACTAACACTTTTTAACAGATATGGATTATTAGTCAAATGGATGTTAAAAATACCATTCAAACTTCTTTCAAATGACCATTTTGAACTGGTATTATTTTCAGCTTCTTCTTAAATGTCTTTTGTAAACAAAAATGATTCTTAAAAACAAAAAGCCTTAAAATGGCTTTGGGAGACTCACCGATGTCATAAGCCATGAAATCTGAGGAGAAGCACTTGGCGCCATGGCTCATGGAGGTGTCGTTGTGCGTGTTTCCTCCGAACACCAGCATGTTTCCACTCACTATCACAGCTGTGTGCAAGTAACGGAAAAATCGGCTGTCCTTAAGAATGGTCCTTTTGAGTTTATTTAAAAATAATAAATACAAGGTTAGTTTCTAAAGAATATTTATCTATCTGCTAATGCAAACATAACCAATTCATTAACTTCAGACCCAAACACTTCCAAACTTCCTTACGTATAAGTAACTTTCTCAACAATAAATATGTAAATTTGTAACCCTATTTTGGCAAAATATATTAAGAGCCTTAAAATTTTTATAACCTATGGGTCTATAATTCAAGTTTCTAGGTACAAATCACGTGAAATAGAAGTTTATGCGCAATGCAATAAAATGGTAAAAGATAGATACCAGGATAGAATATTACACAGCCATTGAAAATGATGACTTTTATTACAGACAATGTAAGATGGTATTACACATGTTGTCAAATGTGAGGAAAAAAGAACTCACTGCTTTATAGTTACATTATTGTGTAACTCAAATTGTCCTAGCATATATTAACACTAGTCTGCCTTTTACAAGCTGACATATGGTTTAGAATGAGGACAGCTCTATCAATTAGGTATAAGAACATTTTGTCTGGTGATTTCATGGAGTGATGCCAGTAACTGACCCCCAAAAAAGCACTCTGGCCAGCATGAAAATGTTATAAAATGGATATATTCTACTTACTTGCAAAAGAGTGCCCAAACTCAGCTATGTAATTTATTCCTTATAATTATGAAGAACTAAAATTTTACAGTAGTGCTCAGTGTACGAAAATTTTAAGTTATTTAAGAATGCCAAGTATTTTCTAAACAACCTGCTATAGAATTAAAGGATACAACAAAATAAGTATTAACTACTTTATTACTCTGCTTATGCCCTAATATTTCTATGTACAAAACTAAACAGAATTATCTGGCAGGCCTGGATACAGAAATATAATATTTTTCCAATAATTGCTTCTAAAGGTTTTTACACCTTAAAGTAAAAGCCCAAGAAAAAGCACGCACCACATCTGGGTGTCCACATCATATCTGTAAAGATCATCTGCAAGCCGATATTTATTGGCACTGAAAGCCTTGTAGCCACCATGAACATAAAGAGCCCTGGTCTTGTGGTCATAGACACTGCTGTGGCCATAGCCCCCTTGCACAAGGGCTCCCTGGGTGTGTAATATACTCCATGTGTTCTTATCTGGAAAGGGAAAAACGATTAAAGGCAAACCCAGCAGACTTCTCCCTTTAATATTTAATATACCCAAGCAGCCAAGGGCAAGAGAAGGATTTTTGAGAGATCTAATATATACAACTTTAAAAATCTTTTGGTTTTTGAGGCCGGCAGGTGGTATAGTGGTTGAGGCATCGGACTCCCACATGGCTGACCATGGTTCGGGTCCTGGACTTGGCTTGCTTTATCATTTCCCCTCATTCTCTCTCTCTCTTTCTGTTGTTCTGTGGTCAAATTGGAAAAATAAATAAATAAAGATGATGATGAATGAAATTAAAATAAAATAATTCTAAGAAAATAATCTTTTGCTTTTTAAAGGAAGGCTACTTGAAATATAACAAAACCATGTGGCCAAGCTCCAAGCTGCTAAATGTCCTCATTTTTGAAAATCCCATATAGGAAAATAATTATATCAAATTTAAAAGACTCAAATTTCTGTCACATGAACAGAGTTCTCTACAGCCTTTAGTGACCAGTACACAGATAACACTTTCAAAGTCCTACTTTCTCAAAATATCGATTACAGCTGGTACTCCTACTGCACAATAACAGAGAGAAGAGAATTAACAACAGGGGAAATTATACTCTGATAATTCAGTCTCAAAAGAGTTAAACAAATACATTGTTTTGAATAATTTTTGCTTATTTTATTTTCAAACCCAAAACATTTAGTGCCATCTTTGTCTCCTTACCAAACTGACAATAGCAAAGATAAACTACATAGAAGCATCGATCACCTGATTTTCACTGGTAATAGACCAATGTTAACTGCGTTTCAAGATAAAAGTACTGGATCAAGGTTAGGCTGAATCTCGTTAAATAATCATAATAAATGTAGAGGTCTTTAACTTGACATTCAAAAAATATCCGCTGGAAAAAAAATACCTACCCAAGTCATATTCCTGCACATTGCTGATATACCCATAGAGAGGACAGTGACCAAAGATGACCAGCATGACCACTCGGCCAGATGCCAGCGTCACAATGTGTGCCGAGTGTCCGACCACTGCATACTGCTCCTTTGCCTTGGGTGTCAATAATACCCACGATTCATTATGGATATGGAACACTCTCAACTCATTGGTCACATTCCCTGTTGAATCAATTTTTCCTCCATACATGTATATTTTATCCTAGAGAAAAGACGTAAATAGAATGTTTAAAAACATTGAAAAGATCAAATCTGAGAACAGAAAAAGATCAGTTCAAAACCTCAGTATTATTCTCAGCTGAAAAAGTATTGGTGAAATGTAACTTCCGGTGAATTATAAGGAAAAAGATGGAGAAAGGAACAACTGGAAATAAAATTAATCATATTCTAAGTCTGTAACACTTGGCCACTTTTCTTTTCTAGAAATTCATGGATCTATTACAATATAAAAGGCCTTGGATCACATGGATCAATTACAATATAAAAGGCCTTGGAAAAATAAAATCGCATCATCCTACCAATAAGCCTACAAAACAAGGAAATGAAAATGATTACTCAATCACATTGTAATGTGGCTATTCTTGGCTCAATTTGCTAATGAATATAAAAGCTAACCTACAATTTTGAATTTACATTTTTAACTGTGCAAGACCATAATCATAACATCTCAATGTAATCTGAATCCATTAAAATCTCTCAGGTTAAAAATGTTTCAGCTTTGGGACCAGCAGATGGCATAATGGTTGTTGCTGGAATCCCAGTCAACCGCAATCTGAGTCCTGGACCTAGCAATCTAAAAGTCACGCACACGTGTGTGCTTGCATGCCCAAAATCCCGAGAGGAGACTGGAGGAGGGAGAAGAGAAGGGATTGAGGCATGGCCATCACCCTTGAGGGGTGATTTCTTCTTTTCTGTCTCTGTCTCTCTGACAAGTACACTTACGCTATAGCAAAAATCTCCCAAAAAAAAAAAGTTTCAACTTTAAATTTCATTTATAACATACCTACTTATGTAGTCTCCCTCTTAAAAAAAAAAAAATTGAAACTTTTCCCTAAGTAAATATCAACACTAACTAGCTTTCCAATTAGGTAATACACAAAGTAACAGGAAGAGTTGAGATAATTGTACAGTGTAGTGAGGATGTTTTACCTTGTACAATGCCAAAGAATGACCATATCTAACAACCACATTGTTCACAGAATGGTTTAGTGAAAGCCACTCCCTAGAAGCGAGGTCATACCTACAAAACAAACAGATCATATTTTCACCCAAATACAAAGCAGAACATCTTGTATTTATAATCATCTAGTTTAGAGATGTTCATTAATCTACACTGAATGCAGGGAAGCATGTGTCACCTTAGTAAACTGAACCTGACGCCTGAGCCCACAGGGCACAGGGCACATGAGACCTGAGGAAGGGGAGCTGGAGGCCACAGCCCTGGGAGGAGAAAAAAATAAAACCTCCTGCAGTTTCTCAAGTTTCCACTCACAGTCTAAATGACTTGAAGGTTACATTGTACTCAAGGGACTTAAACTTTAATTACAGTAACTTTTCCTTCACTTATTCATGAGAAACTGAAGATAGGTACTGAGAAAAGAATGATAATTAAGTAAAAGAAAATTATTAACCTTTCCTTTCTAATGGATTTAAAAAGTCCTATGTTCCACAAAGCCAGAATACTATTATAACATTTCCACTATATATTATGAATGTACTTAAGACTTTTAAAATTCAAAATGTCAAAAAGATCATTTATACTCCTGCCAAGCAATTTATACTTATTCATGCGCTACTGAATAATCACATACAATATCTTAAAATATTCACTTTCAATTTGAGAAAAAAAATCACTATTTTTATTTTTAAAATTGTACATGCTCATTACAAAAAAAAGTAATCAATACAAAAAAAAAAAAAGAGCTTAAAGCTTAAAAAGTGATTATGTATTCCATCATCTATACATGGCTATCATGAAGTAAATACCATTCCAGACGGCTTTCTATGCAAATACAGACAGAACAGATGACAAAATATATTTACATGAAAAGGATCATACTATAGGTGATATTCTTAATTTTATTTTATTTTTTTTTTGGGGGGGGGGCGAGGTTTTTGCTATAGGGTGCATGTGCTCGCCAGAAAGAGAGAGATAGAAAAACAGAGAGATATCACCCCCCAGAGGGGCTGATCATGCCACGATCCCTTCTCCTCCATTCTCTTCTTGGGGATCCTGGGCATGCACACACATGTGCCCGGTGTGAGTTTAAGCCACGAGATCCAGGACTCAAACCACGGTCGACTACATGGGAGTCCAGCGACGCAGTCATTACGCCATCTGCTGGTCCCTACAGATGATGCTTTTAATAAAGTTCATTTTAATTGCTATAAAATAGAGAAAAGAGAAAAGGAAACCAATGCTTTTGTTATATCTAAGGTTAAAAAAAAGTTTCTTTTCTATAAAAGTTCACCTGGATAATACAAGGTGGTTTTTTTTTTTTAATATATGGTCTTCATTATTTATTTTTCTATTATTTTTTTTTTAATTGTCAGAGCTGGAGAGATAGGAACCTCCACAATAGGGCATGGTCATGCCACGATCTCTTCCCCTCCATTTCTCTATTGTATTAGGACTTGGGCACACATGCATATGCTGCCTAGAATGTTTTTCAAGCCACCAGGGCCAGGACTCAAACATGTAGGATCTGACCCCAATATATAGCCCCTAACTAATGCATTATGAGGATGATACTGGATAATCCAAGTTTTTTAAAAATTATGAAAAACACTATTATATGTAAATGAGAAGATGTAAGAAAGTTATATCACAACATAATAACAAAAAAGTAAACAGTCTCTATTACTTTTAGTGACCAATACATAAATGTCTATCAATTATAAATGAATTAATAGGGTACATTCATATAACAGAATTATATAGAATGAAAAACAAAAATAGTAAAGCGGTAAACATCGACATAAATCTAAAACAGTAGTAAGCTAAAAAAGCAAACTGTAGAATACTGCTTCTATAAAAACTAAAAACAAAAATACATTAATTTTAACATATTCTTTATACATTTAAGAGTGTACAAAGGGACTGGCTCCATAGCCTAGTGACTAAGAGAGCTAGATTCCACCTGACTGACAGTACAGTTGAAATCCCGGCTCCCGGAGAATGAAAAACATGCCTAGTACATGTGCATACATGCTCCAAATACTGCCCAGATGAAAAAAGGAGAGGCGACTGTGGTGTGAAAACGCCCCATTGAGGAGTGCATTCTCCCTCTCTTTCTGTTTCTGTCTCTCTCTGGTGAGTACACATGTTCTCTGGCAAGTTAAAAAAAAAGATTATAAAAAGAAAATACATTTTTTAAAAAGAATTACTTTATTTAACTTCATTTATTTTAATTTGATCAGAGGGACAGTGTGTGTGTGTGTGTGTGTCTGTGTGTGTGTGTCTGTGTGTGTGTGTGTCTGTGTGTGTGAGAGAGAAAGAGAGAAAGTAAGAAAGCAAACCACCAGGTCCAGGACTCCAACCGCAGTCAGCCATGAGGGAGTCCAGTGCCCTTAACCATCACGTCACCAGCCAGCACCAGAAAATAAATCTTAAGAAAAGAAAAAAGTGGGCCAGCCAGTGGTGTGGTGAAAGCAGCTGGATCCCCAGGCTAGAGAAAAGGTTTTCTTCAGGGTTTTCTAGCTGTGCCTATCAGCAGTTCTAGATGACCAATTCTCCGATGTTGGATCTGAGATAGCTGGGGCAAAAAGAAACTCCTCGGACTCTTTACCAGCGTCAGTGTCATTCCGTCCACCTTAAACTACCTGGCAACACTGCCGTCTTCTACCTCTTAGAGTTTTCTCCTGCTTGTTGTATATATAATGTACAGGATTTTTAACTGTACTTAAAGTAAAAAATAGGAAAAAGTGGCCTTCATTTGTACTTTAAAACAAATTTCTTTTTTTCATATTCTATTTCTAAAGCAGTTGTCTACTGAATTTATTTACTCTGAGTTCCATATAGGCTTATTTTCAATTTTGAAATTTTAAAATTCATTCTGAACTTTTATCATCTCATTTCTGAATTTTTCTAGTTCTGATTATATTGTCCTTTCATGTCTTTTTATTTATTTGTTTTTTTAAGTTTGCTATCGGATGCATGTGGCTGCCAGAAAGAGAGAAAGTGAGAGGGGGGTATGGCCATGCTGTATTCCCTTCTCCTCCATTCTCTTCTCGGGATTTTGGGCATGCACATCCATGCACTCGGAGTGCTTGTTTTAAATTGCTGGGTCCAGGTCTCAAACTGCACAGTTGGTCATGTGGGATCCACCTCCCTTAACCTCAATGCCACCTGTTGGGCCATATTTTTTCATGTTTTCTATAATTTTTATTCCATTTTAACTTGTTTGAGAATACCGAGTCACATTTTCATCAGTTGTAAAACATATATTTCTATTTTTAATGCTTTCACGTATGAAGGATTGATTCTACTCCTTATTCTTTTTTCCTTATAACAATTTTATATGAGATTTTGACCTCAATATTTTTCTGTAGCTTAAGTATAGTTAATTTTCCTTGAACTTTTATAGGGGAGGCTTGGTGTAGAATTGATTTTCTAATTTCTCAGCAGTCCAGCTCACTCTTCTGCCACAGTAATGTAGTATTTGAATATAAAGCAGCTTACTTATTGAGATCCCTTGGTTCTGTTCCCTTGTGACTGCTATCTGAACTTTCTTTTACTTTGTCTCTACTGTCCCTGTCCTACTCAATTTGATTTCTATTGCCAGCTGTTTCTCCTCACTATAGAACTTTCTTCTGCAAAGAAACTTTGGCTGGGTAATTTTAAGAGTAAGGAACAGGGACCAGCAGATAGCATAATGGCTATGTCGCTGGACTCCCCCGTAGTCGACCTCAGTTCAAGTCCCAGACCTGGCAGCTTAAACCTCACACAGGGTGCATGTGCATGTGTCCCCAAGATCCCAACAGGAGAATGGAGAAGGGATTGTGGTGTGGCCATCCCCCTCTGGGGGTGATTTCTTGCTTTCTGTCTGTCTCTGTCTCTCGGGTAAGTGCATGTGCCCCTATAGCAAAAATCTCTCTCTCAAAAAAAAAAAAAAAAAAAGGAGTAAGGCACAAAGTGCTCTAGACCCTCAGGTTCTACTAAAGATTCCCCGAGCTCACCCCACTACTAGAGTATGTAAAACTCTTTCCATTTCCAGCTGCTTTTCCAAATTGTTGGGCTGAGCACTCCAGTGAGCATCATCTAGCCATATGGGACCAATCTGTCTCCTCACTGCGCCCCTTTGCTCACTCCTGCACAGATGTTAATATTACACAGGACTTGGTAGCTAGGTGCAGCTCTATCCATTTATGTAGATAACTTCTAACCAAGTTTTGTTCTAGATGTTGCTCATGTTTCTGCTTTCGCTAGTTAACTGTAATTTTTCTGTGTGTTTCAATGACTTGTAGGGGCAACAGGGATTCAGAGACTATGCCAACACTGCCATATTTCAAAAATCCCTTAAAGAACAGATGCTGGTTTTTGACCATCTTCATTAATAGAAAATGCCTAGAAACTTTACAGGTTACAAAATCAGCATCAGTGAGTGTTAATAAATTTCTTCCAGGGGGCTAGGAGATGGCATGGTGGTTAATGCACTGAACTCCCACATGGCCGACCGCAGTTTGAGTCTTGGACCTGGAGGCTTGCTTTCTTGCTTTCTCGCTGTCTCTAGTGAGTGTACATGGCTATAGCAAAGAAAAATAATAATAATGAATACAATTAAATAAATAATTCTCCTATACTTCAATTTCCATGGGTAATTCCACTGTGATAACATATACTTTCCCTTCAGAATGAGTGGTATGAAATCGGCAAATAGACTCAGAATCCTGGGAAGGATTAAACAATGATATCACTTCCACTACAAACTGTAAATTCAAACCATGGGACTTGGAGAATTATTAATTAAAAGATACAGTAATTCTCTATTTATGTAAAATCTATTCTATATACTGAAAGCAAAAATATCAGAAACAGTCTATGGAAATGATGAGTTATTATTTATCACATCAATGAATTCTTTACAGTTATTGATTTCAAAAATTTAGCCTATGTCGAAAAATTCTGGAAGACTACTACCAACATATAAACAGGAGTTTTCCTCAGATAATGGAATTACTAATGATTTGCTTTCTTTCTGAGAATCTGTACTTACAAGTTTTCAAAATAAAAGAATATACTTCTTGCATAAATGTTTAAAACAACTTACGCTAGGACCATGCTGTAATCTGAGTGGTTGAACATATATCCTCCAACAATCCACATTATATTGCCATTGACCACAGCTTTATGGGATGCCCTGGGGAGCTTTAAGTTAGAATATTCTTCTCGAGTCCAAAATGACTGGTTAGCTGGTACAGGAATTGAACATCCAGGGCCTAATAAAACATAATAAATTAGCTTCATAAAATGCAGTTTTAAAGCTTATTGCCTTTCAGGTTTTAATCACCTAAATTTAACAATTATTTAAAGAATATTTAGTCTTTCTTTTACCATCTAAATATCAGACAAATCTCTTTAATTGTGCTTTTACTCTATTCAAGTATGGCTAATAAATTCAATGTCATCTCCTTCTAATGAAAACTTAGCCATATCCATGTTAGTTTTGTTTTTGTTTTTGTTTTTGTTTTTAATGCTACCAGAGAGCATATACACTTACCAGAGAGACAGAGAGAGACTGACAGAAAAAGAGAGAAAACACCTCCCCCACAGGGAATGGTTATGCCGCGATCCCTTCTCCTCCATTTCTCCTTCCTTTCAGGATTTTGGGCACTCATGTGCGCATGACTGGCATATTCTCCAGGTCGTCGGGTGTAGGACTTGAATTGTGTGCTCTGCCATGTGGGATCCAGCTGCCTTAACCACTACAACACAGGTTGGACCCTGTTTTGTTGTTGTTGTTTCATTTTGTTTTTTAAGTTAAAGAATATTTACTTAAGTGGTTCCCAGGGGGAAACTAGACAAAAGAATTACTAATTCAAATGAGAACTTTTAGGGTTACAATGCAATAATTAGACCTGGGAGTAATAACCCAAACTATGTATCTTTTGGCAAATCAAGAAACTTAAACAGATGCAAGAGATGTACTCCATTCTTGGGCGCCTGGCTTCTGCTGAAACATTTGCATGGTAGTAAATACTGAAATGTTTCAATGATTAACTCTTTAATGTTAGCCAAACCCAACAAGCTAAAGCATTCAAACAAGCACATTTTCTTTCAAAATAAAAGATTCTGAGGTGAGCCAGCCTGTCACCTGGTGGTTAAGGCAGATGGATCCCATATGGCCAAGTGCAAGGTATGAGTCCCAGACCCCAGACCCAGGGAACTTAAAAATCATGCTGGGCACATGTGTGTGTATACCCATTTCCTAAAAGGAGGGGAAAATGAGGGGAGGGACTGCAGTATGACCATGCCCAGTAGAGGGTGCTTTCTCACTTTCCATCTCTCTCCTTCTCTCTCTGGCAAGCACAGGTACCCTCTGACAAAATAACAATTAAAAAATTTTAAAGTTAAAATTAAAAAAAAAAAGATTCTGAGGAAGGAGCAAATATATAAAGAAAATCACTAAATCAATAAGTTATTATTCCGCTCCTTAAAGAATTACCTAAAGCTTTTTAAAATAATTGCTGTAAGTAATGACATTAGTTGACTACTTTAGGATTCTGATGTATAAACTGTTTTGATTTTTTCTGAACTTAAGAGAAAGACTTAAAAATATCATTATTGTCAGTTCTTGTCCTGCCACCCCGTTTGGTTCCTGCTTTGTTCTCTTATGGCTGAGAACAAGTTCTCCAACATTCATGAATGAGTTACCAAGAATGTCAAACTCCTCCACAATTCTATAAAGACCACAATCACACATGTGTGATATTGAAAGATATGTAAAAAGCTGGATAAAGGGATGTAAAAGTTTAAACGCTACCTGTTATTTGATTAATATATATTGTACAGATGTTAAGAATAAAGTCGATCTACAGTTTACTAAACTGAGAAAACTGTGTAAGGTGAAAAACAGAAAAATGAAAGGAGCTCCTACCCTGCCACTCCGAGAAGCAAGAGCATCCTCTGACGTCACTTGAATTGCAGATGCCTCGATGAGGGAAGCCACAGTTATGTGTACAGTGAGGAATGTCACAGGCTTCACCTTTCCAGTTCTCAGAACACTCACACTCAACAGCATTGCTGCTGTTACTGATCTTACATTCTCCTCGGCCTGAGCAATTATTCGGGCACATGTCAAAACTATGAAAACAGGGAAAATTAAATCAACACAAAGCAACACTTCAATTAGTTTAGCAGAACTTTCCCTGCACAGGTTTAAGAATCCCACTCTCTCTTCAGCTCATTCATAACCTTTTTCCAACCGGTTTCCTCAATTATAAAATGTTAGAAAAACAGTGCCCATAAAGTACTGAGTTTTTTTAAAGAATTATTTTAATAATTTTATTGTATTATTACTGGTTTTTTTTTTCTTTTTTATTTAACCAGAGAAAAAGAGAGAGAAAATGAGAAAGCAAGCTGCCAGGTCCAGCACACGAACTGTGGTCAGCCATGTGGGAGTCCAGTGCCTTAACCACCACGTCACCTGCCGGTCCCACTGAATTTTTACAAGAACTTCAAATGAGAAAATCTATGAAAACTGCTTAGCAGAAGGCCTGGCACACTGTAAACTCTCAATATGTTAGTCATTATTAATATATAGTCTTTTGAACAAAATCACAAATATTAGACTTAAATATCTTACTTGTAAGTGATATTAAATCCAGTCAAATTATAAGCAGCATCACTAAAAAAATGCAGTAGGGCATAACCTGATGTGGCAACAACCTCAGGGACAGTCTCATTGCCATCTCTCTCAGGCACGATGAGGCCACTGAAAAGAAAACACATTTGTTATAGCAACAAACACCCTCACAGTCACGTCGAATTCTGGCAGACACAAAATCAAAACTGGAATTCATCTTTACAATAAAAAAAACAAAACAAAACAAAACAAAACAAAAAAACACATCCAGGAAAATGGGCAAATTCCAGAGATAAATGCATAGTGCTACTTTATTAGTTCTGGATCTAGTCTGGATCTAGTTAGTACTGCATCCTCTGAGGAACAGATATGAACTGTTTGCTAGGCCTCTTTTATTCTGGGTTGTAATTCTAATAAGATCTGAAATCAATGGCTCTATTCTTTTTTTTTTTTTTTTTTGGAGAGTTTTTCACTGTGGGGCGTGTGCGCTCCCCCGACAGACAGAGAGAGACATAGAGACAGAAAAGATTCCTGCCACCTCAGTTTGCACCCCTAACTGTCCCTTCACTGAGGGCCTGGTAACTAAACTATTGTCTGTGGCTACAAGACCCCCCTTCTTCCCTCATTTAAAATTCTCCCTCGCCCTCTAGCAGTGGATTCCTTTGAGCTGCAGCCCCTTCATCCACCAGCCAGCAATCTCAGCATCTCCTGTCTTCCTCGTTTAGGATCATGCTATGTGAGGACTGCTCCTAATCTCTTTAGCCCTCGATCGATCGGAGTATCCCACCTTCAAACCTGTAGTCTCCAGTGGGTCTTTTCTTTTTCACAAAGGCCTCAATGGCTCTATTCTTTTTTTTTTTTTTTTTTGGAGAGATTTTCACTGTAGGGCGTGTGCGCTCGCCAGACAGACAGAGAGAGACATAGAGACAGAAAGCAAAAAATCACCCCCCAGGGGGGATGGTCACGCCACAATCCCCTCTTCTCCATTCTCCTCTCGGGATCTTGGGCACGCACGCACATGCACCAGGCGTGAGTTTTAAGCCACCGGGTTCGGGACACGAACTGCCGTCGACTACATGGGAGTCCAGCGACATAGCCATTACGCTAACTGCTGGTTCCCTTCTTTTTTTTTTTTTTAATAAAATTTTTTATAATGGTCATTTCAAAAATGAGTAAATCTCCATAATCACAAAAACTAACAAACTTTATGAGTTGATGAATGTGAAATATATTATCATTGAAAAACATAAAACATTTTCATATAAAAATATAAATAAAGAAGCTAAACAAATACCCATAATCCCAACACAATTAGCATTCTGATGTACTTCTGTCTAATTGATATTTTATAGTCTATATTCTGTTCAAATAATGCACCATAAGCATTTTCTGTATCACTAAAAATGCCCTAGACTCTCCCTAGGGCCTCATAAAATCCAGCACATATGTTCTAAGTGCGGATTTACTGAATATCTGGTGAGGGAAACAATTACTGAGTCAGAGGGTCTAAATGACTACTGCAAAACCCTTAATCCATACTGCTACCTTGCCTTTCAGAAGAAAGAAGCCACCTTGAGATCTTACCAATACAAAACCAAAGGGTCCATCCTACCTCATCCTGTCAACCATGAAGATTACAAATCCTTTATTAGCTTTGCTAATTTAATAAATAAAAAGTGATTCTTTTATTGGGTTTATGAATTCTTTTATATGCTTGACGTTAATCATTTTTCCTGTTTACTTGCCATTTGCATTTCTTCATATGTTCGTGACTTTTGTCCCATTATTTACTGACTACCACACCACCACCATCACCACATTCAGTGAAAGCACAATTGCACACACAGCCCTACACACTCTTAATCTCCTATTACTCTCTCCCCTCACTCTCTTGACCCCAGACCCATGGCTTTTCTTGAACACACCTGAGAAACTACCACCTCAGGGCCTATAAATAAATCCTCATCACTCTGACCTAACAATTTTATTTCTCTGTAAAAGAAATACTTGTTCATGTTCACAAAGACAAACATACAAAAACCCTAACTGCAGCACTATTCAAAGAGTAAGCTGAAAACTACCTAAATGCTCATCCATAGGCAGATGGTTGGAGAGTCCGTATCCCTAAGGGTGCAGGACTAACAAGGGACTCATCAAGGCATTCTGTTAAGTGTACCCTTATAAATACACATATGAAAATGATGGAAGAGTACGTAAGTAGAGACTGAAGCTAAGAGGGGACAGGATTTTCATTCAGTTTTCAATATGAAAACAGAACTTGGGCCGGCCTAGTGGTTAAGGGAGCCAGATCTCATAGGGTTGATAACGATTTGAATCCCAGCCCTAGAGACTTGAAAAAGATGTGTGAGCACCCAAAATCCCAAAAAGATGAAAAAATGGAGGAGAAGGGATTGCAGTGTGACCATGCCTCATTGCTGTTTGGGGCGGCGGGGGGTGGTGGTGCTTTCTCCCTGTCTCTCTATGGCAAACACACGCACCTCCTGTCAATTAAACAAAAAAATAAAAGATAGAACTCTAGGAACCCTGAGACTTCAACGGTGCTCCCAGGGTTATACAGTAATGACACACTTTCTGCTATGTAGTCAACAAATAAATATTTACTAAGCACTTACTACACATGAGGCACTGTTCTAAGAACCAGGAATACAACAGTGAGAAAAACAGTGTCTCTGTTCTCATGGAGTTCATCTTAGACAAACAGCATATAGCCACCACCCTCCAACACACACACACACAGGTAGGTGTATACACAATGAGAGACAGAGGTAAATGCTAGTGAAGGGAAATACGTAGAGCCGGGGAACAGAACAAAAAGTGCTACTTTAGAAAGGGCAGTTAAGGAAGGCTTCTGGGAAAAGGTCTCTGGGAAAAGGTGACCCCTGATTGAAGACCTAAACAGAGGTTTCACCATCATTGTGCTTTCATCGGCCTACCTGCCTACCTGCCCTGCTCTCTGGCCCATAAGTGAACCTCTAAGCCAAGACAATAGCTTTGGTTCTCAGGTCAGAGATATCCTGGAGGGACTTCTAAGCCAATGGGGATAGAGACACAAAGGGGCACATCATTCTCAGCCTCTCCTGGTCCAGAATTCTTCAAAAGGCTGAAGGAATAAGTATTTGCAAGAGTAGGGCCACCTAGGAACAAGTAAGTCCAAAGCAATCTTCCCTTAAGATATATTCTGGATGGGAAACCACATTTTATATGATGTGATAATGGTCAGTAAATGGATGTAAATTAATTAATTAAAAATTAAAAAAAAAATATATGTGCAGTGTTTCCTACTTATTTGACTATATAAATATATATATATATATATACATATACATATATCAGCACAGGAAAGGACTGGAGGCTTCAGTCACATATGGGAGACCCTGCACTCCTGCTATCCTAGCATGAATTTCAGCATCAAAGGGTCACAAGCACTGATCCTTGCTCCATACACCAGGCACATCAATGACATCTCTGAGCCTAATTTCTTCAAATGTATAATGAGCCAAAGTTTGTCTACCTCATAACAATGAAGTGAGGATCAAATTGTTAAAGCACGTGGCACATTTAACACCTCACACTATAGGTTGAACATCACTCATCAGAGAATGCAAAATCCAAAATGTTGTATGTCAACATGATGTCACAAGTAGAAAATTCCCCATCTGTCCTCAAGTGACAGGTCATAGACAAAATACTTCAAGATGGGGTCAGCAGATGGCATGAAGGTTAAGTCGCTGGACTTAAGTCGCGTGACCAACCATGGTTCAAGTCCTGGACCTGGTGGCTTTTCCTCTCTCACTGGTGATCATATGTGCTCTATAGGAAAAAAAACAAAAATTTTTTGAGAGGTTTTTGCTATAGGGCTTGTGCGCTCACCAGAAAGACAGAGAGAGAGAGAGAGAGAGGCAGGAAGCGAAAAATCACCCCCCAGAGGGGATCAGGGGGGATGGTCACGCCGCAATCCCTTCTCCTCCATTCTCCTCTCGGGATCTTGGGCACACACATACACACACACACACACACACACACATCCGGCGTGAGTTTAAGCCACCGGGTCCGGGGCTCGAACTGCGGTCGACTACATGGGAGTCCAGCGATATAGCTATTATGCCAACTGCTGGTCCCGCTCTATAGAAAATTTAAAAATAAATAAATAAATAAATAAAAATGAATAATTATTAAAAAGTTAAAGACTTTACAGAGTCAAAATCTAAAAAAAAACACTGCAATACAAAAAGATTGTACACGGTGAGACCAGCAGGCATAGTGGCTAAAGTGCTGGACACTCCCACATGGCTGACCACAGTTCAAGTCCCTAACTTGGCAGCTTGCTTTCTCACTTTCCCTCTCTCTCTCTCTCTGTGTGTCTCTGGTCAAATTAAAATAAATGAATGAATAAATAAAATTAAATAAAAAATATTTTTTTTAAAAAAATGATTGTACAAAACTTCGGGCTACATATACAAACATGGGTTTTCTGATCACACCTGTAGCAAGACCTTTATGGTTTAGGAGACTAGTTTTCAAATTGTTCTGTGTTTCAAGGTTTTTGTTTCTGGTAGATTTCAAATTGCATGTATTTTTTTCACTATAATTTCGGAAAATTCACAAATATGTCATAAATTAAATTTTAGTACAATAAGTGCATTAATTCATATTGTACTATAAATAAACCAACTTTTTTTTAAACAGAAATGTAAGTGTTCTCTCTGTGCATATACTTTGGTTTTTCTCAAAAGTCACTGACTTGAACAAATGTGCCTTCTATTTGTCCTGTTGCTGTTGCTGTAGAATTCATACATCTGCTCATCAAATACACAGTCCAGGTAAAGCACAAAGCTACGCACACGTGTGTGGCTCATGTTCTCACAAGGGCTGCTAGCTAGCTGATGCTATGTGCCTGGCACACAACAGGAGCTCCATGAACTCTAATTTACAAATGCAGTAACAAGTGAGTCCCCAACAAATACTATCGTAACTTCATACTTAGATCGTTTTCATGCTTATGTTCAAGTTTGGGGTGCCTCTTGCTATAACACAAGGTACGTTTCAAATGCTGAACACACACGACCAACACTTGGCTAATGCCACTGAAACACAGCACAGCCTACCTGCCCTGCTCTCTGGCCCATAAGTGAACCTCTAAGCCAAGACAATAGCTTTGGTTCTCAGGTCAGAGATATCCTGGAGGGACTTCTAAGCCAATGGGATAGAGACACAAAAGGGCACATCATTCTCAGCCTCTCCTGGTCCTTGTTTACTCCTTGTTACCTTTCTCACCCACGTGGGACATCAACCAGGCTAGTCCCACGGGAGAAATGCAAAAAATATTTATTCAATCCATTTAAGGTCAAAAAAATAAAATATTTGATGGAAAGAAATCAAGAAAGTCAGTTGCAGATGAAAAACTGACAAACTGACAACTATGGTTCCCAAAAGGGATATGCATTTTAGAAAAATATATTTTTAAATCTTCTTACCAAATAAAAGAAAGAAGACTAGAGACAGTTTTAAATTCTCATGTGGTTGCAACAAAATAAACAACACAGCTACTTATTGTTAATAAAAACTAAAATACCAAAACAATTCAGAATACTCCATACATTTGGATGATTAACTGTTTTGTTCAACTCCTAATGTAAAATCTACTTGTAGAAAAGAAGTCATAATACACAACTGGTATGATCCTCATTCTCCTCAGGTAACCACAGTTCGTTCTTCGACAGATAACTCCTAAAGAACTATGTAACGAGAAATGCACAGGGAACAAAAATGGTTACAGTCCCCAATTTTGATTTTTCACAAAATAGATATTATTCAATAAGTCATATACATTTTGAAAATGTAAACTTCACCACCACAAGGACCAAGTAAATTTGATAGTATTGTCACAATTTTATAGATTGGAAAAATTAAACGTCAAGCACCGTGCCCAGAAACTTACCCAAGTAGCTACAGAAACCAAGTTAGTACCAGCACCTAAGTGATAGACTCAAGAACTGGCACTCTTCTATGAGATAAATGTGTTAAGTGATAATAAAGGTGAACCCAGTAACAATGCAATGAGGCGGAGATACATTTAAATTTAGAAATAAAGTAACGATGAACTAGATACTTATATTATGGAGCTTACCTAAAGGCAGCAATTAGTGGTGCATAAATTGAGTCCCCATCATAAACATATAAATGGTCCCAACTACACTCTGTAGCAAAATGATTGAAACGAAGTCTCATTATTCTATTTGGCCTGAAAAGAACAAAAAGAATAATTTATAATAATCATCATCATTACTATCAAAAAACTTAAAAATAGAGATTTGAGAAACAGATTTTTAAAAAGAATTCACAGGGATAGAAGAAAATTAATAATACATAAATAATATTCCTTTGTCAAAGTTTTTTTTAGTATTTACTACATGAAGGAGACCACCAAACGTGCAATGGGAAACAAAACTGACGTGGTCTGTGACCAGTTGAGCCACACAGGCACATTCAGTGTTTAACAGCCTCTGAGCCAATCCACTAGCCTGTCCATCTGTGAACTTCCTTCCTTACTCAACTTAAGATTTCACAATACATTGTTTCACAAATGGACCTGCTAATTCTGGTCTGCCCCTCTGCCTTTTCATGGCATTGCTTAACAAAAGCCCTGGTATAGAGAAAACCAGCTATACACTTTCACTTAAATTGAATCCAAAGAAAGCTAAGTCATATGGGAGGAAGTCATAGTACTGGGCAGACTGGTTCCAGTACTGTTCTCCACTGACCAACTACCAAAGGCACTTGGATTCTGCCAGCACTCTTACCATGAACTCTAATGCTACTTACACTCAGCGACAATTTCAAATGTCACTAGTGCTCACCACCCAGACCAAAATTCCTGAAACTCTTATTTTCCAAAATAAGTAAAACCTACTCCTCCTTCTATCTCTCAAACATTTAACATCTTCCTCTCATCTGGAACTTTCCTATCTACATTTAAATCTGCTGAAGTATTACGTATTTTACAAAACAATGACAAAACAAAATAAATCCCTGATGTCTCTCTACCTAATAATCACCATATCCCCTTCTCCTCCTAATAGTGCAAAACTTCCAAAGAAGATTGTTTCCTCCAATTCCTCTCATCCCACTAGCTCCTTACTTAGCTTCAGCCCAAACGCTACACTTGGTGATGGGCCAGCTGTGGGTGTGGTTAAGGTGACTGAATCCCACATGGTTGATTGTGCAGTTCAAGCCCCAGACCCAGTGGCTTGAAAAACACTCTGGATATCTGTGTGTGTGCCCAAAATCCCAAAAGAAGAGTTAGAGGAGACGGGATTGCAGTGTGGCCGTTCCTCATGGGAAAAACTTCTCGTCGTTCCCCCCCCCCCCAGCCGAAACAGTAGCATGCAGTGCAGGGATGCTATGCTCCACAGGGAGGGGTCCCATAGCAGGCCCAGGTTCGATTCCAGGACCAATCTAAAGGCCTAGTTCAGTGGGGCACCCCTGTAACACCAGGGACTCCAGAGGCTGAGGCAGGAGGATAACATGATCAAGGCTGGCCGAGGCAACAGAGCAAGACCCTGTCTGAAAGAAATGAGAGTGGTCGCACACGTCTGTACTCCCAGCTGTGAGGCAGGAGTATGACCTGGGGAGACCTTGTCTTGGGGGGGTAGAAGAGTTCTTGGTATTATCAACTATTCATATCCTGGTATGAATAATTCTATTTCTCCAGCCTAGACCACTCCTTTACCACACAGTTATTTGACAAACATCCCTAAGAAAACAACTAAATACATAAATAAGTTAACTCAGATGGTGATGAGTACTGGAAAAAAAATGAAAAGAATGTGATATAGTCACAAAGAAAGTGATGGGGAGAAAAAAGAAGTGGTGGGGAGCCACTCTAGAAAGCTTTGGACATGATTAGAATGATGAGAGGCCAGCCCTGTGAAAAGCCTAGGGAATGACATTTCAGACAGAGGGAACAGCACAGTCTTAAGTATGAAAGGAGTTAGTTGACATGCCCAAGCAACTTGAAGAAAATAGGAGATAAAAAGTAAGAAGTGAGAAAGGGGCAAAAGCAACCATTTCTAAGCCATTACTGTGGCCCAGGAAAGAGAGCATAGAAGTTCTTACAGTATGCATAGAGGTGGAGGTGAAAAGGAGTCTGTAGATTTATTTGGGGATTTTTTTTTTTTTTTTTTTAGATTTTGCTATAGAGTGTGTGTCAGAGAGACAGAGGTTGCCACACCATAATCCCTTCTTTAGTCTCCTCTCGGGACCTTGGGCACACATGCAGATGCATCCAGCGTGTTTTTCAAGATGCCAGGTCCAGGACTTGAACTGCACAGTCAGCGTGTAGGATCTAGCGCCTTATCCACCATGCCACCTGCTGGCACAAATTTGGGAAATATTTTCAAGGAAGAGCTGACAGGCTGAATTCAGGGAATATAAAAAAAGAAAAATTAATGTTTGTCCTTAGGAGGAGCACCAGCTGAGGCACATTCAGAACAATGGAGAAGGACCTCAGTGAACTGACAGACATGGCAAGGGCAGACAGTTCCTTAGAGCAGCAATTCTCAAAATGTGGTCTACAGAATGCTGGGGCCCCCGAGACCTTCCAAGGGAGGGCCCAGGGGTCAAAACTATGTTCACAGTAATACTAAGAGATCACGGGCTTTATCACGATGGTGCAAGAGCAATGGTGGGGAACCTTAGGATAAATCCAGGCAGAGCAGCGAACTGTCCTAGTGATCACTGTTACTCTGCACCACCACACCTCATTTTTAAGAAGGAAAAAAAAAGCCAGCTTCGTTTAAGGACACCTTTGTGAGCAGTAAAAAATTAATTTTACTAAATCCTGACTTATAAGTATCTATCATTTTAATATTCTGTGTAACTAGATGGGAAGTAAGCATAAAGTAGTGCTCCTGCCTGATAAAAGTGCAATGGTTTTCTCAAGGAAAACCATTTTTTACTATTGTGTTTGAGCTGTGAGCCATTTTAGCCACTTTTTTTCTCAGAACATCAATTACCATGTTTCACTTGAAAGAACATCTAACAAACTATGGATATTCCAACATAGATATGTGGCAGACATTCTCTTGAAAATAAACAAAGAAAGCTTGTCACTTCAAAAAAAAAAACAACTGACGGTATTTGTTGCCAAAGATAAAAATACAAGCTTTCAGCAGTAGTTTTGGAATATCTGCACTTGCCAACTAGATACAACTTCCTAATACTTAGAATTTTCTGATGAGACTGTTGGTGATATTAACCAATGTGATGTTTTAAAATTATACTAGTCCCCCCTTATGCACGGGAGATACATTCCAAAACCCCAGTGGATTCCTAAAACTGCAAACAGTACTGAACTCTGTACATACTGTTTTTCCTGTACATACATACCAGTGATAAAGTTTAACTCATAAATTCAGCACACTAAGAGATTAACAATACCTGGTAATAAAATAGGACAATCACAACAATATGCTGTAATGAAAGCTAGGTGAATGTGGACCCTCTCACTCTCAAAATACACTGTATCACAGGTAAGTGAAACCATGGAAAGCAAAACCACTATATATAATAAAATATATCAACATTTGTAAAATCTGCATAATTCAGTGAACCAATATTTTCCAAATGATCTATATATCATGCTGCAAAATCATGAATGGGCAAAGATCTATTCGAAATGCAAGAGAGTCAATGGATTCCCAAAGTTCATTAACACCTTAAGATTCACAATGCAGTTTACTTTTAGGAAGTTACTACTTGTCAAGTTTTGGTCTAATATCAAAGAAGACAATTCATCAACATTTAAAAGTACTATTAAAATTACCTCCCTTTTCCTACTTCATATTTAAAAGAGGTCTAATTTTCTAGACATACTTCAGCTACAATAATATACTGTAATAAAAATGTATGTAGAAGATAGGATACTCTCTTTTCTACTAACCTAAATACTGAGAATACAAAAATATAAAAATATACAAAAATATAAAACAATGCCACTGTTCTCATTTTTTTTTCCAGTTTTTTTTTTTCCCCCCCCAGGGCACATATGCTTGCTAGAAAGAGGAAAGGTGAGAATTTGCAATCCCTTCTCCATTTTCCTCTCAGGATTTTGGGCATACAAGCACACGCACCCAGAATGTTTTTCAAGCTGCCAAGTCCAGGACTCAAACAATGAAGTAGGCCACATGGGATCCAGCTGCCATCACTATGCCATCAGCTGGCCCTCGCAATATTTTTTTGAATATAGGGGCTCTTTTCCATAAATATTGAATATGTCACTCATGCTAATATGTAGTGAGCTTACTATTGCTGCTTTTAAATGAATTGACAAATTATAGTCCTTAATCTTAATTTCTAACACAGTAAACACAGATAGATATAACCCACATCAACAAGTTATTTGGGATCTTCAAAGTTTAAGAGTGTAAAGAGGTCCTAAAATAAAAAAAAAAAAAGTTTAAGAAACACTGCAGTAAAGAAAAGTCGAAAAGGAACGAAATAAATGTAAGGACACAGAGGTCCACAAAAGGAGCTGTTTTGGTAATAACTGTGATCTCCCTGTTCACAATAAAAATAGGTACTTAGAAAAATGAGCCAGTATTATAATTTGCTAATGCTTTAAGTAAACCATTAAAAATACTTACCAAAAAAAAAACTTAACAATTTTTTAACTATTAGTTGAAAATACACAAATTTCTAGTATATAAAATTCATCTAGTATATAAATTTTTATTCGATTTAACGCAAAAATTTTTCACAAAAAAGGTGAAAAATTAGCAATGAAGATTAAGAAAAAAATTTTTAATCAAATTTACTTGTCAAAAAGTAAATAAAAAGGTTTTTTTAAAAATCCTTTAAGCTACAGATTGCTCATTTTACTTATAGGAAAATAATGCCACACTAAGCTCTATCCAAAAAAAAAGGAAAAGAAAAAAAATTAAGTTAGCCATTACTACTTACTGTCCTTCAATGAGCCATGTGCACTTCGTTTTATATTTATAATTTCCAGGTCCATCTGTTACAAACCCAGAAGATCCAGTTAGTCTGTAATTTAAATTGAAAAACAAAAAAAGTTACATGTTAATGTCTTTCTTAATATAATACAAATAAAACATAGTGGGTACATTAACGCACATTATAACCAATAGAAAATGACTGGAGAGTTTTATATTCAGATTGTACAAATTTGGATAAAACAAATAACTTGCTACATACTCACAAAAGAGGAGACACGATTATTAAAACCAATAGGGATGAACAAAAACATACCTCAATCTTTCTAGCTGAGAAGGGAAAGTCTTATTTTGTACCATGAAAATGGTCACAAGAACTTATTTATAAAATGAGTTCATTAAATAAAAAAAGATCACATGGTTACAGTTATAAGTACATTTAAAATAGTAACACTGTGGCCAGCATGGCCATGGGCAAGCAATTAAAGCCGCAACACAAAACAGACCCATGTGGCTGTGTGGCTGCTGCTTCTGTCTCTCCCAGGAGCAGTGTATGTCAGCAACGTATAACAGGTGTGTCTTCCCACACCTGTGTCATGCCTAAAAGCTGAAACTTTTAGGTTTAACCAATCTAATAGGCATGTTTTGCCATCTCACTAATGTTCTGACTGCTATTAACTCTGCGGTTTAAGTATCTTATATGTTCCGGCCATTGGCATTTCCTCCTTTGTGAATTAAGATTCCAGATACTTTGTTCACTATGCTACCAAGTTGTTTTTTCAAATTAATGTTTAATTACTGTCTCTCTTTTTTTTTTTTTTACTTGCCAGAGGGCATGTGCACTTGTAGGGTCGATGGAGGAGGTGTGAATTGAGAAAGCACCTCCCCTTAAGGAACGATCACACCACAATTCTATTTCTCCCTCCTTTCAGGATTCTAGGCACACAAGCATATGCACACACCATCTTTCTCAAGTCACCGGGTCTGGGACTGAAACTGCATGGTGTGTGTGTGTGTGTATACACATACACACACACACACACACACACACACATATATATATATATGTATATGTATACACACACACACACACACATATACATGTTTTGTGTTTTTTTTGGCCAGAGGGTGTGTGTATTATACCCTACAAGTTCCTTGACTTCCAAGATCATCTCTCCCTCTCCCATAGGTACCTGATATAAATGCTCTCTTATTCCTCAACATCCATTCCACCCTTCAAATGTTAGTCTGAGCCAACATGTTTTACCATGCCCCCTGCCAATGACTATTAACTAATGAGAAATGTATATGAGTTAAGATCAGATTTTCTAACGATAATTCTATTCAGTTTCATTTATTATGTTTTAGTTTGATCAGAGAGAGAGAAAGTGAGAAGGCAAGCCACTAGGTCCGGGACTCAAACTGAGGTCAGCCATGTGAGAGTCTAGTACCTCAACCACCACGCCATTTGCTGGTCCCAAGATTAGGTTACTTTGTAATACATATTATTGGAAGAGAATATGTGAATTCATTTGAAAGAGAGAGAGAGAAAGCCCACCCCAGTCAATGGGGGCATGATGCAACCCTTCTCCATTCCTCAATCCCATCAGGACTTTGGACACACAGACACATGGGCCTGGCAAGTTTTTCAAGCTATCAGGGCCAAGATTTGAACTATAGTTGGCCATATGAAATCCATTTCCCTTAAACACTGAACTAGAGGACTGGCCCCAAGATTAGGTTCTAATACAACTGACAGCAAAATCTAAATAATAATGCCTTAACCAAGATACAAAATTCAAAGGCAGGGGCTGGTCAGTGGCATAGAGGTAATGCAATGCTCTGTAAGGCAGACCCACATGAGAAGGTTACCAGTGAGCATTCAGAGACCTCTCTGAGGATATCAGGCACATGTGGTAGAAGCTGGGGACAGACTGTGGCATCCAGGCCCTGTTGGGGATTCTGTCTGTCTTTCCCTCACGCACACATGCACTTGCTCTCATGAATAAAATAAACCTTTTTAAAAATGGCTTCTACCTCATAATCCAAGATGATTCCTCAAACTCCAGCTAAAATCTACATTCTAACAAACAGGAAGGAGGAAAAGAAAACAAGGAGCACACTCCCGCCAAGTCAGACATGACAACTTACACCCCATTAGACAAAGTTACTGACTTGAATACATGTAGAAGGAGGACAAGAAATAGTCATTATCCCAGATGAACCATATAGACCAGGAAAAATTACCAGAGAAGTGACAAATGTTAAGAAGGATAATTATTCATCTTTGCACAGCATATACCCTAATACTAAGAATCAAGGGAACTTTTGGAAAATAATTTTCTTATTCTTAAGAAATAAGTGTATAGGGACCAGCAGTTAGCGTAATGGCTATGTTGCTGGACTCCCACGTAGTCGACCGCGGTTCGAGTCCCGGACCCGGTGGCTTAAACTCACGCCAGGTTCATGTGCGTGCGTGCCCAAGATCCTGAGAGGAGAATGGAGGAGAAGGGATTGCGGCGTGGCCATCCCCTCTGGGGGGGGATTTCTCGCTTTCTATCTTTCTGTTTCTCTCTGACTGTGGTGATGGTACACGCCCTATAGCAAAAACCTCTCCAAAAAAAGAAAAAAAAAAAAAAAAGAAAGAAAGAAGTGTATAATTGGGACCAGTGGATGGCATAATAGTTACAACTCAGACTCCCACATAGTCGACCGTGGTTTGAGTCCTGGACTGGGTGACTTAAAACTCACACCAGCATGTGCACATGAGTGCCCAGAGTCCCAAGAAGAGAATGGAGGAGAGGAGATTGTGGCATGGCCATCTCCCCTGGGGGTGATTTCTTGCTTTCTGTCTCTCTTTTTCTTTCTGGTGAGTGCACATTTTCTATAGCAAAAATCTCTCTTTAAAAAAGAACACATATAGGGACCAGCAGTTAGCATAATGGCTATGTCACTGGAATCCCACGTGGTACACTGCAGTTCGCATCCTGGACCCAGTGGCTTAAAACTCACGCCAGGCACGTGTGCGTGCGTGCCCAAGATCTCAAGAGGAGAACGGAGGAGAAGGGATTGCGGCGTGTCCATCCCCCCTGGGGGGTGATTTCTCACTTTCTGTCTCTCTGTCTGTCTCTGTCTGTCTGGCGAGCGCACGCGCCCTATAGCAAAAAACCTCTCCCCAAAAAAAAATTTAAAAAGAAGGCACCTGTACTAAAGCTTTAATTTCTTCCTGTACCCAATGCTGCTTCTGTAACAACTTACTACAACACCTTCCTATAACACCTTACTCTCACAAATGTTCTAACCAACTTGTACTCCAAACCACCTCAGCAAATGCTTCCCAAAAAAACAACCTAAGAAAGACATCCAAAAGGAGACTATCCTGGGGCCAGCAGGTAGCACAGTGGTTAAGGTGCTGGATTCCCACATGGCTGACCACAGTTAAGAGTCCCAGATACAATAGCTTGAAAAGCACATGGGTCACATGTGCATGTGCCCAAATTCCAAGAGGAAAAGGGAGGACCAGGGACTGCGGGGTGGCCATCCTCCGAGGAGTGATTTCTCTCTCTCTTTCTCTCTCTCTCTCTCTCAGGCTAGTGTACATGCTCAAAGGCCAAAACCAAAAGGAGACTATCCTTCTCTGGATTTGCTATGGCTGAGATTTACAGCTAGAAATACTGTAGCCATCATGTTACAAGCCTGAACACAAGGATGACACAAAACCAACACCAAAGATGCTCAATCAAATGAAAGCAAAGGTCCCTGAAGAGCAATAGCACCCACCAACGGGAACTACTCTCAACTTTAGACTCCTGGTTTTATGGGTAAATAAATTTCACATTGGTTATTGTTTGTCTGTTTATTTAAGTTTTTTGCCATAGAGCATGTATACTGGTGGGGGATGGGGTGGGGTGGGGGTCAAGGGGAAGGAGAAACAGTAAAAGGGAAAGTGAGAAATCACCCCCCCAGGGGGGATGGGAGGGAGATGGTCACACCTCAGCCTCAATCCCTTCTCCTCCTAGGATTTTGGGCACATACACACACACACACACCAGGCGTGAGTCCTAAGCCACTGGATCCGGAACTCAAACTGCAGTTGGCCACATGGGAGTCAAGCACTTTAACCACTACACCACCTGCTGGCCCCAGCCCACTAGTTACTATTTTACTGGTGTGTGTGTGTGTGTGTGTGTGTGTGTGTGTGTGTGTTTCCTTGATTTGTCTTAAACTCTGCTAACTCAAAAAGTTCCATGGCTCTCTAGTACGCTTATTTTGCTTCTAAAGAGTTTCCATGGATTTCACATGAACAGATCCCAGTTTGCAAATGAGCATCACTTTTAGAAAAGAAATAGGCCATTTTTATTTTAAATGCTTACTTAATACCTTTAAACATATACACTTACATAACTTCACAGATAATGCACAGCTATGATCACATAGGCTTTTCTGTTGTTAGCATTCTAATCTACTTCCTTCCTCAATTATTCCCACCCACCTCCAACCAAGATAAACATTTAACCACCTAGCATGCATTCTTAACCATTTTTCTTCCTAAATTTTAGATATAGGCATGGTTCTCTTTAATCATGTTTGCTTTTTTTTTTTTTTTTGGTTACATGAATTATTTTACAATTTTTTCAGCTTTTCTATCTTGTTTTGCCAGAGGGCCCATGTGCTTGCCAGAGACAGAGGGAGAGAGGGAGAAAGCACACCCCCAAAGCGACATGGTCACACTGCAATCCCTTCTCCTCTATTTCTCCATCCTGTTGGGATTTGAGGCACACACACACATCTGCCCAGCATGTTTCTCAAGCAGGACCTGAACCACAGTCAGTCATGTGAGATCCAGTTCCCTTAACCACCAGGCCTTGGGCTGGTGCTGCATCTTTTCTTACTTAATTAAATACTGTGGGAATCTCTCCAACTAATAAAGCTTAGTCTAATTCATACTGTATCATGTAACAAGATATTCCACCTACGGAGATACCACATTTCCTGCCTTTCTCTTACTAACACTCATCTTATTTTCAGTTAGTTGGTAATACGCACATTGCTGCAATAAATATCCCTACACATAGCATGGCCTCACTT